TGTTTGGGCATTTTTTTTTCATTCAAAATGCTTCGTCACTAGCCCTTCATGGTGAAATTTTACCGGTCTTTACGCAGGTAAATGCTGTTTACGTTTTGCACACGAACTGTGAATGTTAATAATTATGATTGTAAGTAATATCGACTCTATAGAGGTCACAATACTATGCTATAGAGGTCACAATTTCATAAAAAAATATACATACTCCTTGAACATAGATTTTGAATGAATTCAAAATACGCAATCTTTTGTTTTTAGCTGAGATAATTGAAATACAATACATCTATCTATCTATCTATATATATAAAAAATGAATTTCCGTTCGTTAGTCTCGCTAAAACTCGAGAACGGCTGAACCGATTTGACAAATTTTAGTCTTGAAATATTCGTGGAAGTCCTGGGAACGTTTAAGAGATGAGAAACGACAATTTGATTTTCCCATACAAACTGTTCTTAGCCGTTGGTCTTAAACGTTGAGTTGACGATCAATATTTATGGTCGTGTAGTGGTCAGTTTATGCAATATTTCTTCAATATTAATATGGTTTTTATTAAGAGGTAAGTGATACAAAGTTCACCGGTCAGCTAGTATCATCTAAATATTTAGGTGATATATAGTGAAAAGCGTATTTTGTTTTAAAAGGAAAACTACTAATTCGATTTCGATTAAATTGAAATGGGACCACCTCCGTCCATTAAGCTGTTTTGAAAATCGGTCAACAATTAGTGAAAATACATTAAAAAAGAACATACATCACCGTCGAACATATAAACTTCTCCTTTTGGATTTTGAAGTCGAAAAATATTCTTTGACGTCTTATTTCGCACGGTCAGCAAACGTTACAATCTATCTCATTCGCTGGGCTGATTTCTCTTTGCTTTTATTATATGTTAAATAATTATAATAGAATCTGGCAATACCTTGAGGAAGTCCACTGCTTACTGTGTAATAACTATATCTAGCAACTTCCACATCCAGTCCAGTATCTACAAGACCTGCTATGCACAAATTCACATGCATGCGCAAACTTTAATAAATCTCTACTCTAGACGTGTTACGCTCACCTCGGCGCATCCTATGGAGTTATTACACCTTAGAGTGTAAACTACCGAGTTTTAATTTAATATTCGCATCGTTTCATAACCTACCTCTCTTGACAAGTTCAAGTTCTAGGTCATATATATTATATGTAAATTACGATTCATCATTTGTTTTTAATGTTCATATTACATAAATTTAATGGTGGCATATGTAGTTGGATTGGTTATCTTATATCTCGCTTGTCGGCTTTTAAGGAAGTTTGTTACTTTTTTTTTTGTTGAAGCAAAACTGATTCTTGTCACCCTTCATTAAGAAGTACTTATTATATTTTATATGCCAATTATATCTACTAAGTAATAAAGGAAACATTAATAAAACACGCAAAGAAATTAAAAACTTTTGAACCCGTTTGATTTTAAGATCACGTTTTATTATATTTTTTATTTGCTGTTACTTAGTCACACACTCGTACATATAGTCGAGAGAAGTAATTACTTGAGAAAGCGTCGCAACTTAAGCTATTTTTTTTTAACCAATAAACGAGAATTTGAGTTAATTATAACTGAAATTAAAGAACTGTTAAAAATATCTGCTTAAGCTATGACACACTCTAAAGTAATGAGTGACATGAAACATGAGTATATATTTTATAAAACGTGGTCTGAGTGGTGTATATCTCTCTGAAAGCCTCTCAAAGAAACTCAAATATACTGAACCTAAATATAGAATGAAATCGGAATGGATACGAACTCAATAATATTGCAGTACTGCCCTGCGATTCTGTAAAACTCCAAACCCGAATTCGAATTCTCTCAGGTGTCCGAATTGACTTCAAAAGAGGCATACGCTCAACCTTGAATTGGTAATAACGTTTCGTAGCATAAGTGAAGTGAGTTTCGAAATGATATAGGAATAGAATATCTGAGACACGTGTATTCAATCAATTTTGTTTTGTATTTTTATACAAAAAAATGGAATCAATAGAAATGTTACACTAAATGACGTGAATCCGGACACATGAGTGAATTCGAATTCGGGTCTGGATTTTTACAGAATCGCAGGGCTGTTCTCTTATAAAATCTCGATCTCATTCGGTAGACATCACATCATTAAAGTTTCAGTCAAATAAAACCTACTCCAAAAGATAATAGAGGTTTTATTCAATTAAAGTTACAATTACATTTTAGCAAATTAAACGTATTTTGACTCTCAACAGTATTTTATAGCGATGCACGATACTTTTAATAATTTCCTGAGTCACTGCGACCGGTTGCATTTCATCTGATACCGCTAATGATAATCTTCAGATAATAATCATTGTTGTGTCGTGCGGATATTTCATTGAGACTTGTGTATGTTAGGTGTATAGGGTTGTCAATTCGAAACTGCGAGTTGCACTTGTATATTTAGTTGTGTTTTTCTGATGATAAAAGTACTAAGTAATCATAATTATATTTTGAGGTGTAAGCAAATCCGAAAAAATCAAATCGAGATTTTCTAAATCACTTTTATTTTTTAATGTGTAATTTTCTTAATCGGTTACAATAAAACTTTTTTTGTGACTAGTTACTTAGTTTTTAACGAAAGAGTTAAATTATCTATCTTTGAAGCTTGGCATTCAAATCTATTGTATTAAATAAAAAAGAACTTCCTTTTAAAATAATGTTCAATATAGATTTCTCCTTCTAAAAATGATCAGCCTTTTTAAATAATAGCTACATACTTACTGATTCGAAACCAAAACCCCCTTTTCAGGAAGGATATTTTCGTTTGTGAAAATAATTTTTATTTATATTATTAATCTTAACTCAACATCGATATGATTTATTCAATGTCTTAACACGAACTTTTAAATAGTTGAAAAACAATGCCATCGATTCGTAAAACTATCGGAAGATCATGTACTGAAAAAAAAAACGGTAAAAACTGAGCTAGAAAAAGACGACAACCCTATATCGTTGTGTTTTTATTCACCGTAATTGGTGTTTATCGTGTAGTATTCTTCTTATTTAATGATGCATTTATATGAATGATATATTTTGAGTTACTAACAAGGAACTGTATATAAAATAGAATCTACTTAATTATAAAATTTTCCACTTTTTTAAAAGTAGAAGCTTTTTCTTTTTACCTAATGTACCTAAGGTTGAAGTTTAAAAAGTAGGTCATTTATCATGTCTTATCTTCGTTCGTCGTTAAATCTATTAAAAATACATTTACATTTTGTTTATATACGAATATATATGAGATACAAATTAATTTGGTGTGATTCGTGTATGTAGTATGTTTATCAAAATAAAATTACCTCCTATTAATTTATTTGCATATTTTTTATAATTATGAATATATTTTTAAAATTATAAATAGGTTTTATGTAACAGTAATTCATTAGAACAACAATGGCTAATCAGTCGTATTCTAGCCATGCTAAATCATTACTTCTCAACTACAAAAACTAACCGAAGAGCTTTTAAAGCTTAACAGAACGAATATCCGTGTGACATTGAGTATCCCAGGCATTCTATATATTATGATCTTTATCATGAATGATAGGCGACATTAGAATTATGACGATTCGAAGCGTACACGTATGCAATGGTTTATATGATAAAAAGAATTCTTTTCTTTCCTTCGGCGCGTTTCATGCTGCGACGTGTGCGATATAAGTGGAAATAATTTCACATAAAATGAAGTGACACTAACATTTGCGTATCTTTAACATAGTCTCTTCCCAATTTCTATATGTTGAGATCTTAGAAGATAACAACTGATTTTAATGCAGTTTTCATATCAATGTACAGAGTGAATCAAGAAGAATCCTATATAATATGTATAATACAGGAACACACGGGCGAATCCTCTTATGGTAAGCCAGTTGTATATAAGAGAGTGAAACACCAAAACCCTCGTGTGTTGGTGGTCCACAGACGAAGCGTTGCGAATTAGCACTATTTAATTTTATTTAATTACTTTGAAAAGTATATATCTTTTTAATGTACTATATTATAATAAAAAGAATGATAATAGTTAAACGTACCTCTCTTTGACCATTCGGGTTTTAAAGACGAAAACCCAATTGATTTCGATATTACTATAAAATGTTTATGATTTGGTTACATCTGTATATTATACTAGTGGCCACCAGCGACTTCATCGCTCCTAATAGTTGCAGCGTGGTGTTATATAGCCTTAAGCCTTCCTCGATAAATGGTCTATTCAACACAAAAATATTTTTTCATTTCGAACCAGAAGTTCCTGAGATTAGCGCGTTCAAACAAACAAATAAACTCTTCAGCTTTATTATATATAGTAGAGATAAAAACTAGTGCCCAGCCAATTACAGATAGATGATACCTCGTTTATTGGACCACTACTAACACTACATTGTAAAATGCTCAGTTGGTTTACTGTGATTCGCACACTCGTATCTAAGTGTGAAGCAGTAGCCCAAAAGAGACTGGAACTAATCAACCTGAAAGTTCCTATACAACAATGAAAATCATATCGAAATCCGTTAGGAAGAGTCAACATAAAGGTAGAGTGCGACTTAATTTACACTTGAACTAGCTTTTCGCTTATGGCTTCGTCCGTCTGGACTTCGGCTGTTTCGATAAAAACTCCATTCCTTTCCGAAGTTCCACTCTATCCGTGTACCAAATTTTATTAAAATTGGTACAATATTTAGGCATAACAGACAGACATATGAACACATATACAGTGTTACTTTCGCATTTACAATATTAATACACAGATCATAGAATTTATATGTAGCTTTACTCGGGTAAATGCTTGCGAATTGTTGCTTTTGCAGACCTTCCAGTCTATTGCTTCTATCACAAAACTATTTGAATTTTTTTTATATTGAATAGGTTTATTATGAAATAAATTATAGTTATTTCGAAAGTGCTGTTATTTTCGCCAAAAATAATAATTTATGTAAATTTCAATTTCAAACTTACCACTGTCGCATCCATATCCTTTCTCGAGAACACAGCGCAGCAACAGGTTGTTATTGCACTCAACAATAGAATTAATCTTAATAGGGCTAAATTAGACATGATTCTAAATTTAAAAATTAATTACTTATCAATACTATGCACTTCTGAGATAAGGATTTATGAATATTTCGTGTCTTCGTGAAATTTAATACGATACTTTGACAGTTAAATTCAGTTACAATTTCAATTTTCTTAATTTAAATAGTTAGGTAGATTCCGATTTAACTGTGTTATTTTTTTATTTTTATTTGTCTACGTTTGTAAGTGATGAGTTCGCGTCTTGCTCGCAACATTCAGAATACATGATAGCTGTTGTCCTGCGTCGTTTTTATCACGTTATTCATGAAGTCTTCGTTGTGATGACGTTTTAATCGTATTAGATTATTATCGTACGCACGTAGCTTTGCTACTGCAGTGGCCAGTAATGAACAATCGTGCATTCGACAACAATATGTGTAAATAATTCATACAAACTGTGCAGGGATATTCCTGAAGAGAGTATTAATTTTTAGTGTTGATCGAAAAATTAATGTATAGGTTTCGTTTACTGTAGGGCAATTCTGCTAATGTTAGCGTAACTTGTTCTTGTAACTAAATCGCAAAATAATAAATATGTCGTGTGACATCATTGATTTGTGAGGAAGATATTGCATTAATAATATTGGACAGAATTAAAGCCTTGATAGATAAGTTATAAATTCAGAAGAATCAACGTAAAATTATTTCAAACATGATAGACATTATAGACTATTTTATTTCAAACATTATAGAATATTTCAAAAACTCTTTAGAGAGGACGCATTCTAATTGATTGTATACAAAGTAATGAAGTCCAAATGAGCTGTCATTGAAAATGCGATAACGACATCATATTGAAAAAATCTCAAATGATTTCCACCGAGTACTTTACGGAGAAGGTTTAAAATAATCGTAACGTGTGTGAAATGAGAAATAGATTTTGTTGATAGATATAAGATATAAAATAAGTTCATTTTTTAATACCAGCTGTTCCCGTCCCGGCCCGCGACTACGCATGCGTAAATTATAGCCTTTACCATCCGCGAATGATGAACCTTCCCGTAGTTAAAAGAATTTTTAAAGTAGTAAGCGGTTTCGGAGCCAATTCTATGCAAACAAAATATCAAAAAATTTCCTGTTTATAATAGATACATTTTGAATTTTAAAATTCCCTAATAATTCAATGATATTATTTATGGACGTCCATAATTAATCAGGTAATAGGAACACTTAAGTACATAGGTGGCATTTTTTGTAACAGCCCTTTTGTGTTACCGTGACACCATACCTCTTTCAATGACGAAGTATACTTGGGGCTAATTGACTAATTTTTAAATCTATCTCAATCCTTTTCAATTACACATTTGAAATATATTCACGAACTTCACGATACATCTATTTGATATGTAGAGATTGCGATCGCGTCGTTTTTTTTAAATATATTCAATTAACGGCATCTTTCAATAAATGTTGATTGGAATTGTCTAAAGTCTAAGGCAAACGTTAGATGGAAATATTTTTGCAAATATTGATAATTTTCAAACGAAAAAGAGGAATGCCAACTGCAATCTTTCGAAAGGTTTTATTAGACTTCTTGATCATTCTTATTATTATTAGTTTCAAAAGCAATTAAGACTTAATAATCCTTAAATGCTGAACCGCTTTCCCTTGGAATTGAGATAGATTTTGAAATTAGATATTAAGCTTACGGGGATCCCCATGCACCTCTCCGGAAAATTGTTGTGCGATTTGGCTAATCGAAATTGCTCGCAACATATTATATTGTGATTGTTTCGACAATGAAGTAAACGTTTTAAAAAACCCCCAGAATGCTACTGCTACAGCTTCAAGCACCTTTATATTGGATATATTTTCCTTATTGTTCCATCTACATTAATTCACGGGACCACAAGCTATTACGTAGCCACCGGAGTTACTAATACAGCGAGCGATACATTTTTTGTTGCATTTCCAAAACAATGGAATGATTTGCCAATTCATTCTCCCCCTTTTTGCTACAAGAGGAAAATAATTACCTCGCTATATGTCGCTGATTGGCAAGTTTATTTTTTGTCCTTAAGTAGGTACTTACCAATTTATCCAAAATCGATCGATTCAACTTTAAAATGGGGAATTATAGGTATTTAGCTCGCGCCTGATGAATAGGAGATTATTTTTATCATTATTAAATAAATAAATTCATTTTTTAACATCTCTCTATGTATTATTGAGGCGGATACGTATGTATAAATAAAAAGATAATAATATAACATAATCAATATTTAGTATGTTCTATTTTTACGGTTTTTTGTTTGTATTGGGTAAAGTTAGTTTTGTTTATGTCTCAATTTTTTATGTCAAACGTTAAAAGAAAACGAGTAAATGGTGAATTTTATAAATAGCTTTGTGTTTTCTCTCTGTATTTTTTTTATTATAAGCTCGCATAATATAGTTTTCTTAATTTCAATTACAGCTAATTTGGACAATAATTATTTTTACTAAAACAAATTAAAGCCAGTGGTTTTTGGTGGTGGTGCATTCTTAGGCAAATTTAGTAAATACTGGTCATAGAATGGGTGACCAAAAAATCGACTATCTCAAATACCTCCGTGCTTCAGAAGGCACATTAAAGCGTTGGTCATGGCTGTATCTGTGGTTGTTAACGCCCATTAATCCGCACTGAGGCCGCGTGGTAAGTTATGGTCCATTGTCCTTATTCAATTTCATATAGAGTGGTGGCCATATAATTAAGAACGATTTGTAGATATAGAAAGTTTTAAATGAAACTTAATCAATTTTTTTAAATATTATTTCTTGTAAGTATTTACTTACGTATTCAGAGAGTCAGTTAGTTAAGATTAACTAAACTATAATAGGATAGAAATATAAAATTAGTAACTTTTTTTGTAAAAGTATATTTACTGTGGACAGTATTATAGTTTATATAATAAAGCTGGACAAATAATTTGAAACGATGCTTTTAAACTGTTGGTAAAATGTTTAAAATAAAATATAGAGTAATTGTATTGTTATAATATAAAAAATGTACATTAAAAAATAAATTAAACTAACATTAATATCTTTATATATTAATAACTGCTTTACAGCGAAGAGGCATTCACTCTATAAATTATTGACATTTTGCCTAAGAAATAGAATTCTATTCTTCCGAGAAATCATCGTACAGTTCCCTTTAATTACCACACAGACGATTAGCTACCTTTTTTGACTTCACACTAAAGATGTTCTATTGGGTTCAAATCAGGGCTGTTAGCTGGCCAGTCTAAGATGGCAACGGATTGAGAGTGAAATTCCTTTACCGAGCGGGGTGTATGTTTTAGATCATTATCATGCTGAAATTTCCAAATAAACGGTCTACAATTTTTTTTTTGTTTTGCTGTTGATCGTAAGTGTTACTTAAAATATGTGTGTCAAAAAGAAAAAAGAAACAACCAGTGTTTATTCAAAACGATAAAAAAATACTTTCATTTTAAATTGATTTTAAAATATTATTCTGAGGATATTTTTGTTCTCTTTGCTTGTCTCTTGATAACTATATGACAGACTAGCTTTCGCCAGCGGCTTAGCCCGCATAGTCCCTAGGGAAATGTTTAGTGGGAAAAAAGTCAGGTAATACCCTATCTGTATACCAAATTTTATCAAAATCCGTTCATTAGTTTCGGCGAGATTGACCGACAAACATCTAAACAAAGAAACTTTCACATTTATAATATTAATAGAATAATCTAATTTTAATGTTTTTAATCCTGAAGTAACTAAGAAATTATCTCCTTATAGTTTCGAGACTTCGTATCCAAAAAAATTTTTGGTCACTTCAACAAAGGAAAGCCATGCATTTTTTTCAATCTTTAACACATCTTAATCAATAATAACTAGGTGCCCAACTCCTATTAATAGTATCAGGAATGTTCAAACCAAAATTAGTATTTTTATTAAGTTGTAAGTGTTATTCAGTAACGGTAGTAGGTCGTTCTCGATTAGAAGTTGAAATAAACCCACCACAACTAAAACAAAAGAGGTCGGGTAAATGTAAGCATTTTCGGCTCATATTAAATAATACGCTTCTTTAAAACAAAAAAAAAAATATCGTCACAAATGGAACCCGTTGGAAAATTACTAGAAATTGAACAGAGTCAACTGTTATAGTAGACAATAACCCAAAAGTATTAAGTGAAAACAACCCGAACTGAAAACATGCACAGATATGAGGGTTTCTTGTGTTATCAAAAATGTCACGTCTTGTTTTTGTTAATATAGCCAATCGCAATACTTACGAGTATTTTAGATATACTGTCAAAATTTCTCAAGTTTAAAGTTAATCGTTTATTTAGATATTTTGATGTATTAGATTTTTTTCATTATTTTTTTGTAGGTACACAGAGATGAGAGATGTCAAAAATATATAATTTAATTAACGGAAAAAATCATGTTGACCAGTGTAATTGGAAGAACGTCTTCATCATAGGGTAACATTGCTTCTTCCAATATATTTTTGTATTGAATTTGATCCATGTTTCCTTTTATAAGCCTAATGGGCCCAATTCCATGACCAGAGAAGCAAACCCAAATTTTGAGGTTGCTCCACCACCATGTTTTAAAGTCACTTTAGAAACCTAAGTTTTAAAATGTTTCACAGCATTGAAGATCATAGTTTTCGAACATTGTAGATGGTCAGCTATTTTGTTTATAAAATCAATTATTCTCGCAATGGATTTATATACTTGTAGATTGGTCGTTGAAAAATTTCGTTTCAATTGTGTTTACACTACTGTTAAATCTACTGGTGCTTAATGATCAGGTATTCCTTTTTTAAGCACCAGCTGTATATTTGTATTGTATCGTTATATGTTGTAAAGTTCTATGAAGTTGGATTCATAATTATTCATGTAAAAATGTAATAATTATCAAGCCAATAAACAATTATTATTTAGTTTGTTTGATCTATCATACACATGTTGTGTTATGTAATATTATCAGTATAACATTAATAGGGCATATTAACCTATCAATTAAAAACGTCATGAGAATTTTTCCCAAGTCTATCGTAGACGATCCCTAATGACTGTGTATTGTTTATTAATATTGAACCGTATGCCCTTTCTAGGATAGAGTTTAAAATAAATTTACAATTGTAAATCCGGAACAACAAATTAATAAAATCCGACATTTTGTGGAATGTTCTATTTGTTTATTTATAACATTAGAATGTGATAAGAGGAAAAATTGAACAATAATATTTCATGATTTGTTTACCCTTTTCCCAGTTATTTATTTGGAAGAAAGGGGAGAGGGAAATCTACCTATAATACAATTCGTACGTGCGTAGTTGAATAAATTATATTTTTGAAGTTCAACAACAAAAGTGTTGGTAAAAGAATTTACACGAATATAGTTAATTAATAACAGCCTTACTTATAAACGTTGATTAAAATTAGACACTACTAAGCAATTCATTAATAACAATATTTACTTATAAACCTTCATTTAAGTTAAAATGCATCTTAGCAGCGTCGTAATTAACTGTCAAATTAAGTAGCGTCTGTTAAGCGCTTAATAAGCTACCGACGAACGCGTTTCACAGCTGTCCAATGTACATTCAATTGCCTTGTGCCAATGGAAATGTACATTAGACTTCCAATGAGCTGCTGTTAAGGAAGGAGGTCAAGTTTTTCATCTGAGAAGTAAGGTAGCATCAGTCTCATACCAGTCTCCATTGGAGTTGATACTAGAATGGCATCTGTCATTCCAAACTTTTCGATGACTTGCTCGATGCACTTTTTCTGATCAAGTGACAGTTTTCCATTATGACGTATGACGCGCATACCAAGACAGTCTTTCAGTGGGCCTAAATCCTTACTTACAAAGGACTTTTGTAGTTCATCTTATTCTTGTTTCAACTTTGTGTCGTTGCTGAAAAAATCGTCCACGAATAGTGATACTGTAAGATGTAATAACTTGTGTTTGTAGTAGAGGCAGTGTTCCGAACCTTTTAATCGAAGTCTGTCCATTAATTACTTCACAGACTTTTTTGTTCCACTGTCATGGAGATTGCTTAAGTCCATAAAGTGATTTTTTAAGTAGGTAGACTTTGGTTTTGTCATCAGAAAAGTCTTCTGGCTGTTCTAAACAGATTTCTTCTTCTAGATCGCCGTTTAGGAACGCTGTTTCTGCGTCCAGATGGTCGATCACCATGTTTAGTTTGGCAGCGAAGGCAAGCAAAAGACGAATAAAAGTAATTCTCGCTACAGGTGAAAATGTTTCGCCGTAGGCCACATCATATACTTGTGAGAAACTCTTAGCGACTAATCTAGCTCTATATTTAACAACATCCCCGTTAGTTTACCTTTTAAATTTATACACCCACTTACATCTAATAATTTTTCTATTTACCGGTCTATTTACAAGTCTCCACGACACGCAGTTTTTATTTAAATCATTAAAATATAGACTTGTATAATATATACCTACGGCACGATTTTAAAAATATATTGAATTTTGGGATATCTGAATAAATGACCTAATAGTCTATGCCATAAAAGAGCAGACTCTTTGATTTACATAGACAAGGCATTATGATTGGACATGTCTTTATGGTTTGAGGCTCTCGCAATGACTGGGATTAAGGAATTCATCGCCATCTTTCATTCATTTCATTTTCATTTTACATGTAGAAATTAATTTATTCAGTTGACCTTGGCAGAATTGTGCCAAATGCGCAGATAAGCCATTAATAAAAATAGAAGAAGGAGAAGACTGGGCCTGACACTAGTATGTTCCATGTTGGATGTTCCATATGAGAAACAGACACTGATTTTCAGCTGTACCCTAGCCGTTGTTTGGTCGCTAGCGTAAACATCAAAGTGAATGTTGGTGAGAGTACAGTGTAAATCCAATGTACATACAAATGATTCAACGTAATAAATATAAAAAATAATAGATAAATATTATTACATTCATATACAAAATAATATAACTAGACCTAAATTTTACCTCTGTAGATTTTCTTCTTGAAAAGATACCTTACACAAAAGTCTAACTGGGGGTAAGATGTTGTTCCAACATTGGATGGCTTGGTGTCGGAAACTACCAGTAAATGCTACGGTTCTGTGTAGACAACAGGAAACGCCTCGATGTAGTCACGTGGCTACATATACTTGAGCTTCGTAAATGGTTATTCGGGCTCCTTATACTTAATTAGGTCAAACAACAAACTAGCGAGATGCAAATGCCTACGAAAGGACCTTATCAGGATAGAATGTTTATTGAGGTACGGCGTAACGTGACTACGCGAAGGTACATCAAAACAGAAACGGCAGCAGGGATTTTGGACGCGTTGTCATTGTTTTTGAGTTCTAGATAGCAATCGCAGTCCGTACACGAGGTCACCATAATTTAGTCTCGACAACACCAGTGATTCACATAGAGTGATACGAACTTGCACAGTTAATAAATGACAAACTACTACCATTGTCAAAACACAAGTTAATAACAACTAACAAAAGAGTAACGCATCATTAATCTCAAATGTGTATAATAACATAGAGATATATCTAAATCTCGTTGATTGGGCGAATAGATAATGTTAAAGTTTATAGAGGAGACAGGCTGCCAACCTTAGTGAGGCAACAAGTCAAATATATGTTTATCGGTTGCAGATAATATAAGATTCACATCTTGGCCCATTGGCGTTATGTTTTTTACAGTCTGTAAAAGAGAACTGTTTTTTACAGTCTGTAAAAACAAAATTCGCCTTCCAACAGATATCACCTAAACATTAAGATGATATGTCATGACATGGCCCATTTCAGCTTAAAAACAAAAGATTGCGTATTTAGAATTCATTCAAAATCTGAAAGGAAGATTTTCTATTTTTAATTATATACTTTTTTCTTTGATATATATTTTTATGAAAGTCAAAGATTAGGCATCAGCCAGTAAAGTATATAGGTATATAGGGTAGCAAAGATATACACACACAAGATGTAGTATAGAGCGTGCCGCTTTTAGATAGCAATAGCTTTCCCCATAATGTTGCGATTGCGATCCATAAAAAAATTTGCCCATAATCGATTACTTTCACCGACCATTTGTCAATAACGTTATTAAAATAATATTTTATCTACTGCCTCTTATCAAGATAATTTTAGGGGAATATATTTTTAGTATTTGACATTAAAAAAGTATGAAATAAAATATTAAAAACCTCCGACCCAAAACATTACTCTAAATAGCATACAATCCGGCCTGGGTCTAGGTTACTTTCACTCCAAAAATATTTGCTATAATCTAATAATATTTACTTAATAAGTATGTAATACTTAAAAATAAGCATAGGTTACCTACTACACAAGGCGAAATTTGATGACTAAGTATTGGCGTTTGGAATAAACTGACGTGATGCACAATGAACAACTCAATACAGATTGTTCAGTGCGAAATTTTAGATGTATGAAATAATTAAAATTACTATTAAGTATTCTTCAATTTATGTCAAATTGTTTTTAAAAATAGGCTTTTTAGTATGAGTGCTGTGAGACGCCAGCTGTTTAAAATATCGAACGAATAATTCAATTTAATTGATTTTTTCATGGTCCTAGTTTTTTTTATTTTTTTTATGTAATGGAAGAACTCCGATATGGCAGCTTTGTTTACTTCATTCTGCAAAATAAGAACCAACTTTTACAAATAAAATAAAATTAGTTTTATAAATTATTTTTTTGCTCTTGGCAAATGAACTTACGCCATTAACATAAAAAATAACGATAACTTATCTAATGAGATCCAAACAGAAGTTTGGATCAGAATGTTGTGTATGTCAGAAATGTTTGAGAACACATAATTTTGAACCAACAAGGGGTCTTGTTGTTTTCGAAAATAAACCAGCCCAAAATATATTTTATAAAAATTAAGTACGTATTTAAATGTTATTTACTGTTAAGTTTTAAGTGTACAATGAACAACTCGCATAGGGACTTTTTGAGAGATGTGTAGTATCCAATTTGTTCACTGATTTTCGCACTGTTTTTTCTAGTGGTTGCAATCTATATATCTCGAGGTTTGAGTTTTGAAGATAACTGTAATAAATAAATATTAAATATTGTTTTTACACTTTTTAACTCTTTATCAAATGTCCATTGATATATTTTTTATAAAACTTAAAAATATGATAAATGAAATTTAACTCAAATGCTACATATTCGAGAAAATGGTTTTCTGTAGGTTATTAAATAAAAACGATAGGTGCCCGTCTTCAATACCATTTCCCCGAATAAGTTGCTTTTGAGATAAGTATTATTTATCACTTTTTTATAGTTTGAAGTCGGTTCTACTTTTAAAAAAACTTTTATTCTGTTGTCTGTTGTAGGTACAAAGTTTATTCTGTTGTTTTTTTATTGTATTTGTTAGACTAAACAAACTATATAATAAATACACCGCCCATATAAATAACATCTCACTCTCGACTTTTGGTGTAGACAAAACGTTTTCTGAGTTTGTCACAACGTATCGTGCTATGCGTGCAGGGGTGCTACTACCTAACTACCCAGGACAATTGAATGCGATATCTTATCGTTATCATGTCCATATTTTGTTTCACTTTACTATGACATGTCTTTTTGTGATAAATGACTAAGTTAGTCAGTATTTTGTATACTCATTACTACTACTGATATTATAAATATGAAACTTTCTTTGTTTGGATGTTTGTCCGTCAATCACGCCGAAACTACTGAACGGATTTTGATGAAATTTGGTATCCAGATAGGCTATTAGCTGACTTAGATAATATAATACTTTTATCTCACATCTCACTAAATAATTCCCATGACCATGCGGGCGAAGCCGCTGGCGGAACTAGTTTAAACATAAACTTGATTGTTAATACTATTTTATTTACGCAGATAGGTCACGGTCTTCAAATATTTTGACATCAATGGTAAAAAAAATATAATTATACATTATGTAGTAACTAAAATTTGAAGAAAAAATGTAGTTGTGTTGTGATGACTAAAATATTATGAAGGCTTTAATTAAAATAACAGCATTTTGATTTTTGTCATTCTTTATCGTATTCATCGAATAGTTCCTTAACATGAGCTACTAGTGGTACGTTCAGTATCTTCCCTACGTCCTTGGCAAACACAAAATCTAAATGGTTGAACTTGTTCCAAGCCACTGGTGTCACGGAGTGTAAAGTGCCGGTCTCATTCAACGCGCTGGCAAGACGTAGGATTTGCTGAAATAAAATTCTACATAAATATCGGTGAGACTATTGAACTCGCTTGACTAAAATACTCTAAAACTTGATCCCATAAATGAAAGCGATATCGACTCTTTGGATCGGTGCATATTTGACAGAAGATCTTCTGATAAATATCCGACGTCCAACGGATCCGCCCGAACGTCAAGAACTGACAAAACATATAAACTCAACATTACGCACTCAACCAATGATCCGTCATGTACTAACTAGCATATTTCCGTGAAACAAAGAAACTTTATTCTATGTAATGAATGTACATTGACGACGATAGTATGTATTACTTTTGAAAAATACTTAGCAAACAAATACCACAAACAAATAATATTATTCCTATGTTATTTACAGTTATACGAAATATAAAACAATTAAGTGGTGCATTGAGCATCTGAATGTGGTTCAATATAGAAAAGATTAATTCCACCAGTCCTTGCCGAGCTTTTAAATTTAATATAAGTAAAATGGACATACAGACTTTTCCGTGAGCTGGTCGTTCTCTCCGTACCAGATAGACACAGGTGTTCTAATATTAGTCAAATTGTAAGGTCTTACTCGTCCCTCCAAACCGTCCTCCCAAGAGGTTAGAACTCCTGTAAAATCATTTGGATGGCTTTATTAAATTGTCTATCAATCTTTTTTATCTCAAATAGATTCAAACTAAATGACTTGTCATTATTTGCTCACAACGTTTGGATCTTGAATCAACGCCATTCATTCAGCATAATGATAATAAGTTCAATATTCGTTTTGAATTTTTGTTTAGTTATAGTGAGCGCAATAACTTTGTAAGAATTTAATACTTACCTGTTTGAGTAAACTTAGCGAAGTGAAACAATTGCCGCGTAGATGCCGGATGCATCCTCATTATGATAGCTTTGGTCATATCCTATAATAATACAGGAATATCTATTAAGTTGTCTCTTATAATCCCGTTACGCAATTACAAAAAAATCTTAATCCGAGTTACAGTAAAACATTTCATTGAAGAGATTTACTTACCGAAGGGTGTTGCTCAAAGTCGTCGCCCATGATGGCATAGGCAATCCTCAAACACAGATCGGTCTGAGAACGCGTTGCGATACAGTATTCGCTTATTATTTCGAGTACATTGCGAGACAAGTATATTGCTCTTATATTTTTCTTGACAAAAAATACCTTTAAATTAAAAATATAATAGGACATTCAATGGCATCGGGCACTTGCAGGAGATAATGTGATATAAGACAAATAATAGTGTCGAAATATCAGTTTCATTTTATACTGGCATCACGTCAGGCTACCACATAATGCCAAATTTCAGTCATTTCTGACCCGTGGAATACCAAAGTGGTGTCACCGATTCTAAACTCTGTTTGCTAATTACTAGAGATTAAAATTTACTGGGGATACTCCGTGAACGAGTAGCTTGCAAACTGGCTTCGCCATATCTCAAAAAAACAAACAAATGATTCTATATTATCTCAGGTGTAGGTGTGGTGGTACCTTCATCGTTTCGGATTTCTATAATACAATTGCCAAAAGCCACTTAATTTAGGATTTGAACAATTATGCGATGTTCACAGACACAATTCCAAAAATAAAAATAGCGTTTCATACTATTTCCTAGACTAAATTATTTCATACAGTTTTATTATCATATGTGTTTAGTTCATCATACTAACATGCATGTCGATTCTATACAAAAGGAAGTTGACCAATCCCCTGATGTTATCGAGGTAAGCGGCTGGTGCCAGACCGACGAAAGCTACTAATTTGTCGTTGTACTCTGGACGCCACGCCAACATCGTTAGGAACGTCGTACAACCCATTGAATGGCCGATATACAACAGTCTGGAAAGTCCAGTTTCCTCCAGAATCTTGTCTATTATAGCTGGTGCATCATACTTTCCGTGCTCGTCGAAACTACAAAGAATTTAGTTGGTGTAGTTAATAATTGGTGCCTATAATTATTAAACTTCGGCCAAATTGCATACGGAACAGTATGAAATTTTGGCACAATTAAAGTTAAAAGCCCAAGCAATTTTATGAAAAGAGTTTCCTAAGTTTTTGTTCGCGTAATGTGATGATGTTGTACTATTTGCCTCTTGCAGTTTGAAGTTCAAAAATAACAACAAATAATGAGTTTTATATGTTTACCTGTAATCCCAAAATGAAGGGTCTTTTCTGGTCAAGTTTCGATGAGATGTGTGTAAATTACCTCGCAAATTTGCTAACCATACGTCGTAACCAGCGTCCGCAAGAAAATACCCTTAAAAGCAATATGCAATAAAAATAATAATAAAAATATTTTTTTTATATATATTTCACTGATCTAGGGAATTTGCTTAAAGATGAAGATTTAGTACAGTATAATTCTCCTAGCTTTCCGCAAACAGCTTCGTCCACGTGATCACACGATATCTTGATAGTACCTACCTACATTTATCCGTAGGGAACTGTTTAGTGGAATAAAAAGTATGCTAAGTATCTGTTTACTCGTCAAAATCTGTTGAGTAGTTTTTGTATGAAAGAGTTTCGCATAAACTTTCGCATTTATAATATTAGTGGGACAGTTATTAATATCTTAACTAATAGTCCAGCGTTGCTATGATATTTGCTCGATTGCGTTCAGCACCACGATTAGGAGTATGTACTATTTCACTAAATAAAAGTATATCATATGGACAGTCTATACATATAAATGCTTTTAGTTTTTGCGTAGAAGAACTGTTTTACGTTTATCATTTTTTTTTCCGTGGAAAAACTTGGCCGAGCCGCGAACGTAAGAAATGCTGCCTAAAAGCTATGGACACACATCAATTATTATTGAGTTACCTAGACTGTTTTTAGGGCCCATCAAAATGTAATTGTCACAGTTGCCGAACAGACCATGAAACAGCACTATTGCCTTCTTTTTCTCGTTTCCTCTTTTTGTAACCCCATGGGGTATTCTATAGATTTGTAAGATGTATCCGTCAGACGTGTGCGCATAATGTTTTTCTATTGGGTAACCGGCTGAGCTAACAAGCTGGGGCTGGAAAAATATTGATGTTATTATATTTGAACAATTTCGCATTCACAATGCTATATTGCAAAATATTTTTAATAAAAAAAAATTTAAGCATTTTTATTAAGATTGTTTTTCGGTATAGCAAATTTGTCATCTTTATCGAAAGTTTAAATATTTGTAAAAATATTTCTTTCGGCTGTTTGGGTGGATTGCCTGAACATTGATGAGAATACGCTCTGTAGCAGCGAAAAAGTAACAAGTGCTTGAAATATTCGTAGGTCCTGTTAAGTCCTGGGTAGCTCAGCAGTCGCCCGGATTGTGAATGGTCATAGGTTTGAATTCCATCTCAGGTTGCCAGGGACCAAGAGGATTTTTCTAAGCATTATTCATTAAGAATAAAATAATTGTTTTTCAAATATCGGTTAGACAATGGAACACTTTGCTGTATTTTATTTTACTTACCACTGTCGCATATGCTTTCAAAATGTCTGCATGGACATGCATGAGACAACAAAATATAAATGTTACCAAGAAAATATTCATTTTATTATAGTTGTATTCTTCGCTATAGTTTATTTTAGCGTATCACTTTGTTCTCATTTGTTGAAAGATATATGATTATTGTATAACCTCTATGAGACAGATTTATATATGGTTGACAAACATGATCAGTATATTTTATATAGCTTTTCATTCGAATTGATTAAACTGATTAGGGCATGTTTACAATCATGATTTATTGAAACCAAATTTTGAATATTTTTTTAAACTTATTTTTATTTTATTGGAACAACAAACAGTTAACACAACATGTATAGGTCATTGTGAAACCCACGCCGTTATCCACATGTTACTAAGTCCTGTTAAACTCGAAACAAAACAAAGCGTTGATTGAATTATCAAAAGGGCAGGTGTATAGACAATCTAAGTTACCTACATTAGGAGTGCCTAAATAAAATCAAAAAATGTAAATAAAAATTTTGTTTGTTTATTCGTCAGGTAGTATGTTGAAAAATTTCAAACATTTACTTTTTATTTTTTCTTGAAATCTTATGTTTATAAATTTTTAGATATCTATAAAACATTGTGTACGTTTTAAATGAATGAATGTAATAATTATGTTTAAAGTATGTTAATAATTAAATAAACTAATTACTAAATGAATTGATATTTTTTAGATTAAGTTAAGGGTATACAGATATATATAAAAAAAGTTACTAAATTTATGAATTAAGAATAATTAATAGACCAATACTATTTGAAATAGTTGCCCCTCAGTAATGCTGTGCCCTTACAGGACCTCGCTTGTACAAACTTTATTTATAATCTTTATGTCCTGTAACTTGCATTGAATAAATTGAATTGAATTTAATTTGTTATTGCTATGTAAACATAACCTATGAATGTTTTATAGAGAGTGCAATTACATCTTCCGCCCAAATTTAATACCATTTTAATTTGGCTTCATATTCAAATAATAATAATTGTTGACTATTAAATCGAAAAAACAAACTCACGTATATTTGATCGTTGAACAAGTAAATTGAAGTACACACGTTGACAAATTAGGTTATCATGAAATGTATTAAGCGGCGTTTATACAGGGTCAGGAACTGCATCGGAAGGCATGTTTAGATGTTGCGTTTGGTTCTGTATGGGTTATGGCCCATTCCTATTTTTATTGATTCCAGAAGACCTGAACCCCAGCAGTGGGGACGCTAATAGCCTAAAGGTTCTACTTATTATCTTAGGGAAATACATGTAAAAAGAAAACAAATAAGCTCAAGTACTAAATTCGAATGGAAACAGAACATCGAATTTGACTATAAAATCGACGTCGGGTCATTATATTTAAATTAATCTCATTATATTTAAACAATTGAATTGAATTATACAAAATGACACTATTCATATTATCGAGTATTCTAGACTGGATAAAATTTAATTAAAATGGATAAAATAATTGATAAAATTTATACCTTTCGATTAAAATATAATGTATAATTATAGTATAGTATAGTGTAGGCCCTGATAATACAGATTCTCTAGTTTCGGGGTCAGAGATCTATAACTTAAAGCAATATGTATAAAACTTAAATTAAGTATTTGTCCTATATTTATATTAATATAAACACCTGTTGAGTAGCTCGGTGAGGTAGTGGATAAGCGCCGCGGCATCGTTGTTGTTAAGCAACTTTCGCTGTGGTCGGTCACGGGATGGCTGACCAAAAACATTATTATCTCGAGCTTCTCCGTGCTTCGGAAGGCACGTTAAGCCGTTGGCCCCTGCTGCATTTACAGTCTAATACCCTTCAAACCGCATTGGGCCAGCGTGGAGGGTTATGGCCCATCCTCCTTAGCCATCCATAAGGAAGGCCTGAGCCCCTGCGGTGTGGACGTTAAAGGGCGGTTGATGAAACACCTGTATATAAAATTAGGAGTATTTGAGTAAATAAATGAATTATTATTATGATTATTATTATTATAGTATCGGTACAGTATTTAATTACATTATCCATATAATCTAGCCAATCTAAACTTATTGTTATTAGAGTTTTGATAAAAAGTGAAGTTGTACATACATTATAAATATACCCTAATCTTTTAACCTTCAAAATAGTTTCATCAAATATCAAATTTAAGTAGGTACTCGTACTATTTTTTAAAGCTGAACGATGTTTGATACGAATGAACATTTATGTTTTATAAACATTTCGTGTAATGTTTATCGTGCGTGACGAAAAAGATTTGATACACAAATAATTTAAATTATAAGTTTAAAAAAGCATTTATGTCTTGATATTTATATTTAAGTAAACCTGTCACACCGGGTTACCGAAAAATGTCGAGTTTGAATCGAACTGTAAACAGGTTAAGGTTTAAAATCGTCTGGAAAAAGACCTTATATAAGTATGTTCTATAATAAATTGGGCATTGAACACGTGCTGTCACAGCATAGAGGCTTAGACAAGTATGACCTTGATTTCATTGAGAGAGAACCTTCTCAGTATGGTATACATACACACGAAAACATTATAATACAAAATGTCTTTGCGACCGATTTTCAACATTAATTTCCTAAACATTAAAGAGAAAATCGAGTACGACAATCTTGAGTGGACATGTTAGGTTAGGTGATACCGTGTAACGAAAATTTTATAGCGACGTCTTTTACAGGTTACCACAGCAGTAAAAGATGCAGCAATGTCTCCGACAGCCACTGCGTCTGGCAGTGAATCTGATCACCCTGAACTGTTGGGCTCATTGACTACCCAGCAGCAGCAGCGAACCAGTGCTAGGGTCATTAAGAAATTAAAGCTGGAGCCGCCTAGTGACAAGCGGGTCAAAAGACCAGAAGGACAAGTGGACGGTGTGTGAATTAAACTATATTTTTATATTAATAGGCTCTTATCTCACAGGAGCTCGTCGGCGGAGAAATTAACCAACTTTCGCAAAAAAAAAAAATCTTTAGCTCCTTCGTTCTTCGGAAGTCACGTTGGTCCCGGCTGCAGTCGTTACAATCACCAATCCGCAATACGCCAACGTGGTTATAGCCCATTCTCCCTATTCGATTCCATCCACTGGAATGCCTGTGACCCAGTCGTACATAAAAATGCTGTCATTTTAGATAATTATTTTATAGTTCAAATTATGTATTATAGTAGTTAAGCAGTCGCGTTTTGCGTTCTTTGATACGAAATATGATGTATATACCAGCATTATGGCTGTAATGATGTTTTTACATGCAATAACACATCATAGTACATGCTCTGAACTCGTGAACATATTTTATCTGACAATATTTGTTCTCAGAATTAACAGAATGTGATACTCCCAACAAAATCGATGACAAGGACTTGCTCAAGTTTCCTACGGTGAAGCAACGCATGCCGAAAGCTTTATGGTCGACCGATGAGAAAAGCTTGTTTTTCGAAGCCCTCAATGAATACGGGAAAGACTTTGATGCCATCACAGCACATATATGTGCTAAGATGAAGAAGAAAGGCATGCCCGATGTAAACCTGAAGACGAAGACCCAAGTTAGCCATTTCTATTACAGGACGTGGCACAAACTCTCCAAGCATGTCCATTTTAATGAGAGTGAGTAAAAGCTTGTAAATAGACTGGCTGAGTATATAATAAAAAAATATTTTTATAGCACAATAGCGCTGCCGGTTATTAACACAATGCAGTGACATCGGGGCCGGGCCGTCCATATAACTGCCTAGGACGCTCGTATTTGAGGAGCGCATTGGCACAATCTGTTTTGCACCCAAAACAGATTGTGCCAATGCAGTACCCATGCAGTAGGTATCTTAAGAAATATATGTTATAACATATTTATATCCAAAGAACATATAATATAATATAATATAATATAATATAATATAATATAATATAATATAGTGTATAATATAATATAATATAGTGTGTTGAGAAGCATATCAATGGTTGAGACGGAAAGCTCTATAAACTTTGCAATTTTACTCTGGAGTCAAGTGGCTCGCCAATTTGAGGCTATCGTTATCTCTGGTCGTCGGGTTACAGAATCTTTTTTATTTTCTTAAATATCTCGGGTCTTAATATGAGAGAGCAATATATGTGAAGTTGTCTTATATATTCTTTTTAATTATAATTAGACTTCGCAATAGCACAAGTGCTACATTGTGGTTATGGCATAGGTTTCAAACATAAACAATAAATCATAAAGTGACATTGAAATTAAGACATAAAATGACTAGAAGTCTTTGTCAGATTATTCAAGAGTGTCCGGGCCCTCCTTGCTGGATATCGGACTCATCCATTCGCGTGAGGTGAACCGCAGCGGGTTATACCAGGTAGGGCTTCCACGTTAACCTGCCCTTTTAAGGGTGGGGTGGAAGAGGAGCCCTGGTTTAAGGCTTAAGGTGCATTCCCCTGCGTTAACAAAAAAGAAAGATTATTCAAGAGTAATATGAAAAAGCATAATTACGTATCGATTAGGAAGGCTTGAACTCCTGCAGCGGGCACGTGAGAAGGTTCTAATGATGATTAATAAATTTTATGTGTTTTACTATATATTTTGGAGAGCTAAAGTTACGACTAGTTAGTAAAGTTTAGAGTAAACTTTGTTTGTTTGTAGGTGTCAATCTTCGAAAATCTGATCCGATCATAAAAATTCTTTTGCCTACGGGAAGTTTTATCATACGTTGCGGTTGACATAGGCTAATATAATATCGCGGGAAAACAGTTAGTATCTATAATATATTTTATAATGTATTTAGTGTGAATATAAATTACATGTTTCAGTGTAATAACTATGTGCACTTGTTTGAATGTCATTGGAAATTATATAACCAACTCATTGTACTGTAAATCGACCTTACTATAATCGCTATAAAAGATTTCCACGCATCATACGAGTTACATGATATTTAAATCGTACACCTTTTCTTTAATAAATTATATTGTTATATTACGACATTAATTTAATAGAATGACTACATCAAATGGTAGTTAAAGCATTAGATGTGTTAATAATTCTATGTCTTGGGTCATAGTTTATCGTTATTATTATTATGTGTTTAGTTATCTATTTCTAATTATGTGTAAATTATTATTAACTAGCTTTCCGTCTTGTACTATACATATTAATCTTCCTATTGAATCACTCTGTATATTGATGAAAGTCGCTTTAAATGCGTGGTATAGTTTTAAAGACAGCGGAAAACGACTCTGTTTTGTATAGATATATCAAAATTCTGATTGAATTACATTACACAAACTTAAGAGATCGATGGCGCAGTGATAAGCGCGTTTGGTGTGATGTGATGCTTTCGTAAAGGCTGGTTATAGGATGGATGGTTAAAAATCTCAAGCTTCTCGAAAAGACGAAATATACGCGTCCATCAACGAGATATGAATGGCGTATTGTATTCCAAAAGTTATTAATAACCTACTCATATATAAAACGTTACGATTATTTTAAAGTTATGTGTAAACCCTCGGTTACAAAGTAACTTAAATATATTTATTTAATTTCTCTCAAAAAGGTCATAATTACGATAAGCAATGGAAAACATTATTATATACATATAAGGGTAACTTTGCGATTTTTAGGGTTCCGTACCCATGGAGTAAAACGGGACCCTATCACTAAGACTCTGCTGTCAGTTTGTCTGTCTGTCTACCACCAGGCTGTATCTCAAGAACGATATTAGTTAGCCAGTTGTAATTTTCACAGATGATGTATTTCTGTTGCCGTATAGCAACAAATGCTAAAACTGAATAAAATAAATATTTAATGAGCCTCACATAAAACAAACACAATTTTTATTTTTGTACGAAATCCTTCGTGGCCAGTTTTCGTTATTGTTTGATATGCTTACATTTAAATTATATGATATCAGATGTAAAAAAAGTTGCACAAGAGTTGTACGCCCTCATAAACTACGGAGAGCTGCGCAAGAAACTGGCGTCGGTGAGCGAGAAGACATGCGCGCGGCTGGGCGACATGGTGCGGGACGGTAGTATGTTGGTGCGAGCCCGCGGGAGGAATGTGCGCGTGCGCACGCCCGCCTGCCGCGCACTACGCAAACTGAACCAAATCACAGGCAAGTTGTACGGTGTACTTTACCGCTTCCAAGGTATCATCTCCCCCATGTAAGGGTGTGGGATTTTTAGCGGGCAGGCCTCTGTGGATCCATTGAGCGAATCTCGCTGATGGACACAGGGATAGGAGTCCCATATAACTTCACCCTTAGCCAGATAAAGAGAATTTAAACATTGTCCCTTTATTAAAAATAAGGTAAATTGTATGGTAGCAGCGTAGTTGGACTGTAGTTATTAAAATAGGCTCGTACTACTAGTAAAAAGCTTCATGTGCTCTCGACTTTAGCTACAATTCATACTTAGCTCATTCTACATAATCAACTTGCCCTCCCCACCCGCGGGCCTTTGGCTGGTGACACCCCTACAGCCGGAGACGTTTCTAAGGATCATAGTTTGATCCTGAGATTTATTATTGTTGTACACATAGAGCGCGCGTACGGTGCCCGCGTATGTTCACGTGCGGGTGTTACATTGCGTGCGCGCGATGCGTGCGCGTGGGCGCGCGTGCAAGCGGCCGCACATAACCCGCGCGCGCACGTCTCACTACCGCTGCGTACTAGCGTGCGAGCATTCATTAAAGCGCTCAGCGCTAGGTGGAATCAACATGTATCCTTTTTAAACCGCCGACAAAAAGAGCTTGTTATAATTGTGACCTGTGGGCTTTTAACTAATTTTAGAATCTATCGCAATCCCTTTCAAAGTGTAACGTTGTGGGACCTTAACCTTACTCATTAACCTTATTCATTACATTAGTTATTTATTTTATGTTTAATGAAAATTTAAAAAGCACTTTGCCAAAATGAGATAGCTTTTATTTTGGTGTGTATATGCTACAGCTGTTGTCGCTTCGCCTGCAATCCGCATTGGGCCAGCGTCCTCCACGCGGGTCATGGCCCATCCTCCTTAACCATAAGGAAGGCCTGAGCCCCTGCAGTGGGGACGTAAAAAGGGCTGGTGATGGTTGTCGCTTCGAGCTTTAGTTAAAACTATCACAAGCTTGAGAAACAATTACAATTTTGAAGTTTGTTTATACAATATATAGTAACAACAAAAAATTATAACCTAAACAAAAAGTATTTTAGTCGTATAAGTAGAGTTGTTCAAAACGATTAAAACACACTAACACACTGAAAACTAAATACTAAGAAAAATTAGCGTTAACAATTTATAAACGCGCTAGTACATAATAATAACAGTCGCATTAACAGCCAGTTGCACAAACGTCCATTATTATATTCATTAGTTTAAAGCGACATTACCCATACAAATTTGACATTCATTAGAGATAAAAGGCGTCATTAAATCGTAATGGACGTTTGTGGAACTGACCGTAAATCAAGCAGTACACTAAATCTCATCTCGATCTTTGAATTGAACGCGTGCTGCGTGCTATACTAAACAATAATTTATTAATATATTATTCTAATAGATATGAAATAAAAGGAAATGAATTATGTACATTATTTATCTACACGTAATGCAATTTTACATCTCTTCACTCAAATTTGTCCTTATATTTATTAAAATAATCATCTTCATTATAAACACGTATTTTACATAATTAATCAGGTCAAAATATATATTTATTTAAATTTATATTTTTTTACAATATAAACTTTTAATTTTTTATTTTATTTAACTCACACAATCGCAATTTAATGTAAATAAACATAAAAGACGAAATAAAAAGCATAAAAACAATTTCAAATATCAATTAACTAAACTGTTAATAATACACGATCATATTTAACATGCTACGAGAATAAACCGTTAACGCGTCAATTAACATTGGCTCAGTACGATTAGCGTGTTAAATTAACACGCTAAGCACTAATTTTACCATCTCTACTTGTGGGTTATGTGATAGATTATAAATTTAATTTAATTTAGTACTTGAATTTAACAAAGGCGCTTAGTAAAAACTATTTCTAAGTGGGGAAATCGCGTTCTATCTAAAAATTGGTTTAATTATTGTAACATAAATATTTAAAAGTATATTGATTTAAATTTTATACTTACCGAAAGAAAAAATTACAATCTAATATCTTAATTTTTATCACGCAATCTTTATCGTGTGACATATTATTTGTAAGGGAATCTAGAATGAATTTACATATTCTAAAGAGCATATCTCATAAAATAACGGCTGAAAATTATATCAAATTATGTATCATAACGATTCAATACCTATTTATACTTTGTAATATTCATATTGACATTGTAACGATTAACTTATAATACTAAATAAGGGAAATCGGCCTCTGCAGTCATGTCAATAAAGTTTATTTTATTAGAATACAATTGCATCTCTGACAATGTTATCGACGCGGATAATATAGACGTTTTAAAAAAACAGTACATATATTGTATATAATTAGCGCACTAAACACAGGGATAAGGTACGCGAAATTAAGTAATTAAACAGGAATGATCAAGATAGCAACAATATAGACTGCAAGTTTGTTATCTACCTTCTATAGCCTAATACCTACTTTCAGTATGGAGATCAAACATTAAAACATAACAGCTGGTTTTTTTATTATGAGTGTATATGTTTTCTTTTTAATATATGAATTAATTTATTGATATTTTTTTTCATATAATTAGTAAAAAAAAAAATCCTTTAATTTCTCAATGGTATGACAAGCAAAATACGTATAAAGTGACTTTTACGTATTTTCACGCTGTTACTTATGTTACTTCCATGAAATACATAAATTTTCCTAATATTATATTTGGAAACTCATATTTTTATAAAAACACGGACAATAAATATTTGAATAATATTTGTAAAAAATCAATAATATTAACAATGAAATACGACTTCAATCGATATTACTATATTGCGTTAAGTATATTTTGTTTTGAATCGAATGAAAATTTCCATGGGAATATTGCATACCAATAGCCTTATAAGTATTTATGAAGCAAAAATATAACACGAAATATATACAGCATACTTATGAGTTAAACACATATTCTACTAAATATCATTAAAATCCACTCAGAAATACTTCAAATAAAAGTTTTATCACATTAAACTACTACTACAAAAAAAGTTAAAAATAAAGTTTAATAAAAATCATTATCTCCTGTAATTTTTTAGTTGGATTTAAATAATTTTCATGGTCCTTCTGATAAATAAAACCAAAATTTGTGTAAAAAGGCGTGTTAGTAATTTTGTATGAAGGAAATGAAGGTTTTTTGACTTGATGTTTTTTTTTATACCTTCCGTAGCTCAAATGAGAGGGCTTCTAAAATAGTCTCTTGTAATTGGCTCACAAACTTGATTAAAATATTCCAGGCTTATATCGAATGATTTCCGTTTGTCTCGTATTTGTATCAGGCTACTATGTCAATTATCTAAGTAATACCGTGTTAATGGACACTAGCTTTCCACACTCGGTTTCGCCCGCGTGCTCCGTAGGAAACTGTTTACTTGGACATAATTCAAATCATGACACGGTTATGATTATAATGACAAATTGAATAGTAAACAATGGTTCATCATCATCATCATCAGCCCTTTTACGTCCGCACTGCAGGGGCTCAGGCTTTACTTATGGATGGTTAAGGAGGATGGGCCATGACCCTCCACGCTGACCCAATGCGGATTGGAGGGTATTAACGACTGCAAATGCAGCCGGGACCAACGGCTTAACGTGTCTTCCGAAGCACGGAGTAGCTCGAGATAATAATTTTTTTTGGTCACCCATCCCGTGACCGATACTTGCGAAAGTTGCTTAACGACAAAGATCGCGGGCCGCGGCGTTTATCCACTACGCCACCGAGCTACTCAAACAATGGTTACTGGAACAGAATAAAAGAAAGATGTAAAATTCGGAAAGGTGATATGCGAAAATGCTAAAACTAGGATGAAATAGAAATAAGAAATAATAAAGGCTTGCTACTGAGTGTAGGGCTCGGCCAAAATATTGTAGGCCGGGCATTAAAAAAATGGTTATTATGACCCCATACAATTTCTCAATTGCTGTTTCGGGATAAAATATAGTCTATGTTCACCGCATATGATGTAGCTTCCCGTAAGTGAAAGAATTTTTAAAATTTGTGCAGTAGTTTAGGAACCTATTCATTGCAAACAAACAATCAAATCTTTACTCATTATAATATTAGTATAGATATTTTTCTTCACCAAAGCCACAGCCATATTATAAATTTGACGTCAAAGAAAGCACAACTGATGGCAAATGTTATGAAGATACAAAGGATATTGAGGAGCCGAATCAAAACCAAGAAATCAATCAGAGGCCTTATGCGGAGGACAAGGATGATGATAGAGAAGACTTGGACGACCATTTGCATTTGGAAACGGATAGGATTATTGTGGAAGGTTTGATTTTGCATACTAATACTGATTGTATAATCGCATTTTATAGTGATGATGAGTGATTACTTAATTGTTCTGTCTAGATTTTGAAGAATACTGCATACGTTTTTTTTTGCCTACTCAAAAAATTAAGGCGATACATTGTGTTAAAATGTCACATAACGTCACGCTTTTGTACATTTTCTACAAAACTGTGACCTAGCGAGCCCCCGCTCCTCAACTTTAATGTCAGTTATCTATTTCTTGTTAAATTAAAGAAAGAAAAAACATTTATATTTCTATTGACTGACAGACTTGATAAAATTCCTTTTTTTTCCTATTTACAGTGTTAATGTTGTTTCGTCCTCTGTTTAGACGAGCTCGAGAACGTTTTGTCTACATCCAGATCTCACTGTTGTCGGTTGCGCCCGTACAATATTTCACTCTCGATTCAAGAACAGTGACATTTAGTACAACAAAGCGTTTCTCTAATTTGTCATGCAACATGCTCCTATATTGTCTCGGGTCTGAATGTTGTAGGACATTCATTGTTTGAGATTTGCGTCATATAAGTACTTTAGCTACTTAATTTGAGATCGGTAAGAGATTCTATATAAATTTAAGTGATATACCTACACCGATCACGAGGAAATTGACCTTGTGTAAATCCCACACGGCAATGTAATTGTAAATTTTTCAAGCCAACTAAAAGTCGTTCTGACCGATTAAAAATTTTATTATACACAGAGCAAAGACAACCAAAAAAGCTGGCCTTGCATTTGGGTCCCAAACCCAATGCCGAGATTCACATTCCCGTGCTTAGCCCCAGTGAGCAGCTTTCCAGTCAAAAAATCTGTTTCTCATCTTATTTAGAGCGTATGTGCTCACAGAGGCGTGATAAGGACGGTGGATGTAAGTAAAAAGTTCCCTACATTTATACAATAGTTTTTTAATCATCGCACAAAAAATATTTAGTTACTCGCTGTGAATCACCAATCAACTATACCTGGAGGTTAGCGCCCATTTTTTGTTAATAAACCTAGTGTATGTTAACCAGTATTAAAGTCTCCACTGCTGTGCACAGACCTTTCTTATGATTGGAATTGAATCAAATGGGGAGAATGGGCCATGACCAACCACGCGGGTCCAGTGCCGATTGGTGGGTGTAAACAATTATAGATACAGCAGTACAGATACCAACTGTTTTACATGTCTTCCGAAGTACATAGGAGTGCAAGAAATAAATTTTTGGTCACCCATTCTATTTGGAAATCTGTTTAACATCGGAATCACAACGAACGTGTTAACCACTACTCCATTGAGCTCTCTTCGTCTTTCACATTTAACTACACATAAAAATATTAGAATGATAGTTTTGTTACGAGATTGCTACCGTTAGTTTTGTTACGGCGCCTGTTGCTAGCGCCTTGAGCACGGAGTAACTCAAATACTTTCGATAAAACCAAGGTACATGGCAGCAATCCCGTAAAAAAATATGATTCTAATGTAAATGACCATGAAAACTTAAAACAACACATAAAAATATGTTATTAATTTATTATAGCAAAAATAAGAACTCCAAAGCGCCAAAGAAAAGACAGTGTAACAGACAAAGATAAAGAGATAGAGCCAAAGAAGTTCAAAGAAGACAATGAACCTATCAAACTGATGAACTTCGATGAAACTGCCATAGACGGTATCGAATTAATGGCTAACTACAAGAACATTCTGGAAGACGAAGAAAAGCCTAGCACGGAAGATGAAAAGGATATGAAAGCTGAAGAAACAGCTGATGAGGAGTTACTAGAGAATATTACGGAACGTGACAAAGATGTTTTTGAAAAAGAAATTTCGGAAAAAGAGAAGGATATATCGGAAAGAGATAAAGATATATCAGAGAAAGAGAAAGATATGTCAGAAAAAGAAAAAGATAGTTTTTCTGAGATGGAAGATGACGAAAAGTATAATAAGAGTGACACGGACAACGAAAGCGACCAGGGCAAGAATGAACAAAATGGAAAACAGACCAAATTTAAGAATCTGAAGGTACAGGGGATTTCATATAATTTACATAGTAATTTGTTCCGTGGAATTATGAAAATAAGAAATACCTATTTGCGATTTGATTGTTTTAATGAATGAAAGTCACAAATTGTTGTACCTGTGTTGTATTTACTGTTTAATATTAATATAAAATCACGTACGTAGTATCTCTTATATTATTGCATTTAGCTGACATGGACTAAATATCAATAATACGAAGAAACAGTTGCTAATATTTCTACATATAATAAAAGCTTACTTTATTTTTTATTTTACTTCAACAAAAATCTAATATATATTTATAAATCTAATTTTACGTGACGATTTACTGATAGATACTCAAAATAGTATTTTGACAACGACAATCTCTCAGGTAAAGTTTCGTATACGTCCAAAGAAACGCGGCGGCAGTATTTACACTTTAATCCTGGACAAAGATGGAGGGGGCCCGGAGGAGGTTAAGACTGATGACCAGAAGACTGAAGACCAAAAGTCGGAAGAGGAGCCGAAGCCTGATATTGATGTAGACATGGCGATGAGGCAGATCAGAAAGGGCTGGAGTGAGTACGACGCCGGTGACCTTACCATAGGGGATTTGTACCTAATGGTGAGACTTTTTATAAGCTTTTATCTATCCTGAAGCTGCAGTCTCGACAGAATTTGCGATCGTTACTTAACGTAAGAATTCATTGACCGATCTGTCAAATTTGATCTCTAGAAAACTAACGAATAATTTGACAGTTGATATTCCCTAACAAATATCAATTTACTTAACTGTAGAGACTTACAATAATCGGAGAATTACGATCCTTATAAGTTAGCGACCAAATTCGATAAGATTGCGATTGCAAACTCTGTCGAGACTGCAGCTCTTCAACTGATTAGTTATACTTACTTTGGATGACAATGCATGGTTAGCTAAATTATATCATTTTCGTTATTTTTTGTGAAACATCTTTATATGAGTATCAAATGAAAGGGTTTGCTGAGAATATTACGACAAAATAGCTAAACATCAAGTAAAAATAAAGCAAGCTTATTTCATGCGTTAATACGTAAAAAATAAACTTTGTAAAACATATAATATTGTCATATTATCATCTATACTAATATTTTTAAAAGGAAATATTTATTTGTTTGTTTGTATTGACTAGGCTCGGAAACTATTTTACCAATATGATAAATCGTTTTAACATTCTACATTATTCTTGATAAACATGAGCGATAAAATATTTTCAAAAACGTTAGCGATCTGTATGAGAATATCTATAGCAGTGCGAACCGGGGCGGGCCATTAGTATCTTATATCAAAATTTATCGCTATTATATTTCCTTAAAGATAAAAAGAAACTCAATTACTACATGGAGGGTATTTTAATTTTAAAATATTTACAAAGAGTTTTATTTTATAGTTTGGTTCCCGATCCAAATTAGAATTGGACTACTGGTGGGCGGAGCCTACTTCACCTTTGCCTCAACCGATACAACCCACCCCAAAGCCAAGACAGGAGCCAGAAAAGGAAAAACTCATTGAAAAGAAAGAGAAAGCTGACAAAACCCTTGACAAGAGCATCGATGGGCCGATAGAAGACAGCGAGAGAACGAGAGAGAGCGACACTGATATATTCTCACCGAAGAACGCTTATGGACAGGATAGTAACGATGGAATGTCGGGTGATGAAAGAAAATGTGAGTGTCCATTTTAACCTTAGAAAGATAATCATATTGTGTAGTACGGAAAAGATGCGTAAAATTTAAGCATGTGTTACAAGTAGCTGTAAGTTGGTATTTATGAATTTATTACGATAAATCTTATGTTATTATTTAATTATACATATCTTATAATAATAAGTACTGTACATACTCATTTATTTATGAAAAATACACAAAAAAGTTTAAACTTCTGTTAAAAATCAACGAAAATTTTAAACATTCACATGTAAACATTATTTTGTTTTTACTAAAATATTCAGCTCTATTTTTAGTATAAAACAACAAACTGTTACAAGCAGTTTGGACACATATCAACGTTATGACCTCGTCATGCAATTTTTTTGCATATTTGTATGACGCATTTGCTTTTCTCCTTAATTTAGAAGGCAAAAAGTACAGTAAATAAGTTTTTTTAATAATATCAAGATAAAGAATACTAAAACTATCGAAAGTTTTAGACAAATCAAAATCATAAAAGTTACGTAATAGAAAATAATGAGTTATTTTGGCTCATGCGATCAAGATCAGTGACGCATATCTTATTGATAAATACGCCACTATGGCGATACGCCATATGCTCATAAGGCACAGATGGATTCAAACAATTTAGAAAATGAGAGAAATGTTTAGCTAACGCATGCATAAATTTTTTATAATATGCTTTATGGTATCTTTATTTGCAATCATATTCTCAAGCCTTATAGTGAATATATTCCACTCATTGGGAAGGGCAGTGCCCTAGCAACAGTGGCTGACTAAGGGAGGCAGAGCGGGCGGTCCGCCAAATGCTTTATGGTATCTTTATTTATAATCATGTTCTCAAGCCTTATAGTAAATTCTATTCCACTCACTGGGAAAGTCAGTGTCCCAGCAACAGTGGTGGACTAAGTCCTGGGGGCCTCCAAATGCCTGCAAGTTCACAAATTAGGGTTGTACTGTCTTATCTTTCTTATGTGTAATTTCGTAGTTTTAGCAGGCTTCTTAGCGGAGGGGGGGGGGGGGGTAAACCCCTAATGCCGCCCTGGGCCCCCGACCGTTATAGTCTGCCACTGCCTCAGTAATGGGGTAGTAGGATATTGATGTTGAATCATATTTTCTATTAGGCGAGCAACTAGCGTCTCCAGACCACAAGAGCAGTAGCTGTGGTCTAAAGTTGGCCAGCAAGCTCATCAACAGGCCACTACCGAATCATCAGCATCAGCACGGCTTCGATCAACTTAGAGACCGGTAGGTGCATGGAAATTTAAAATAGGATTCATATTCTAAATGTACGAATTCTCAATAGTAATAGATGCAATAGAATAGAGTATACAAATAAAATAGTTGTGATGTATTTCAATGTCAACATTAATAATATTAATTCAAACCTGAAAATAATTTCCGAAAAAATGTCTTATCCATGTTATTATTTCTATTGACATTTACGACGCAAGCACCGATAAATAAAATATCCAGTTCGATCACGGAATATAATCAAACGACGCATCATTTATACTATCTCATTTGAATTAAATTAGAATACTTCAACAGGTTAAAACGCTTGTTAGCTTTAACGGGCAACCCTCATGTGAACGCGAGCACGGCAACGAACGTTCGATGCAATTGTGGACACGTCTGCTCTCAACGAAGGCAAGCACCGGTATGAAAAAATACTATAATATTTCTTTAATCAAAACTCGAAGCACGTATTCTGAAAAAGGGAGATGATTATAGATAGCAATGTAATAATTAATCGTGGTTGTATTGTAAATTTGCTAAAGCTAATTTTCGTAGCAATGCGAATTGGGCATTGAAGAAATCACTACTGTTTTCAGTCATATACAAATGAGTTTTAGCGTGCTAACTCAAAAAGCATTCAGAAATTACTACTGTTCTCAGTCAGGGTTTTAGCGTGCTAAATCGTGGACATAATCCTTAAATTTTTATTCAAATAAAATTAATAAGTATTAAAGTTAATTTCGATAACTAATTATAGCTTAGTCCAAGTGGAGTGTTCAAAATGCACGAATGAACTAAATTACTTGATAAAAATTTTCGTACTTAAAAATGGAACCTATATATTGTTAATAGTTATTAACATACTCTATACTCACTCTGAGGATTATTATTATATGCACCTATCAGTCTGGATGCGAATGAGGATGGTCGTAAAGACGGGGTTAAAATTGTTAAGTCTATGTCTATCCTTTAGTGCTCTATCCTGATTAGCTACACTTAGATTGTTTTTAATTTATTAAAGTGTCCACAGAAACAACAAACTTGCGTCCCACAAAGGCAGTCCGAACAAGTGTCAGTATTTAGACACCCTACGCCTATTGCTCCACGTCCTGACAACGAGGTAAAACAAAACAAGTAATTAAATTTTCTTTTAAGTGATCACCAGTGGTCGGAATTAGGTAGAGTTATTCATGTACTTACACTGATTTCATACAGCGAAAGAATAAAGTGGATATGCCTCAAATCCCGAGATTAATTTTAAAGAGCAGAAAAAATCCCGTGATTTTTTAAATAAAAAGTTATTTACTTTTACACAATTTAAACTACTGCACGCACGACGTTGCCAAACTTACATCAATGAAAGAAAGAAATAAAGAAATCCCGGGAAGGTCCACATTAATATCAACATTTCGATGCAAGTACATAAATAACTCTACCTAATTCCGAGTGACGTCTAACGTTATGATGTACTTATATATCGTGAGTATGTAACCGAGAGGTTTGCTAGTAGTTATTTAAAAATTGTTTTGGTTCTCAATCCGCCATCTTTTGTTAAGGGCCTGTCCATACGAGCTAACTAGGCAACCGCCTAGGGGGCAGCGTAGCGTAATCTGTTTTACTATAATTATTTATACCATGCAGTAACTTATAGAGAAGATTAAAATATTTTGTTCTTTGAACATGATGGACATGAATCCATGTCCACGGTATTCAAAAGTACAAAATTATCAGGCTTCTACTTTTCTATGTCATTGGAAAATTACGGTATACATACCTGTATTAGTCTTTTATTCTGTTATGATATTTGAAATGGGCTTCGTTCGTGTGTTTTGCTTATGGTACAAAGTTTAATTGTGCAATACACACTAGCAATGTGACCGCCTAAATTTCTAGCCACAAGATACGACATATCAGTGACGTTCCTAATTTAATGACGATGCACGAACGATAAATTAAAAAAAAAACAACCTGACTGCGTGAAAACAAATAAAGAATTGAAAAAAATATATAATTACTTTGACTAAAAAGAAAAAACATGTCCAGTAGTTTAGAATGCTATTAAGTACTACTGAATAACTACTAAATTAAAATAGCTTTAAAATCTATATACACATAAAACATATCAGAAATTCAAAAGCAGAATAGAAGGATCACAGGCACTACCCATTCCTTTTTGACTAATCAACGGAGCCCCGTATAATTTGAATAGTAATTATATTTTTTTTTTTTTCACTTCTACCTTGTTTTCACGCAGTCGGATTAATTGTTTTTTATAATAAAAATTTTATTTTACACTTTTTAGTTAGTTCTCATTGACTTCGTTATTAGAACTATAAGACAGTTAATTTCACAACCTTGTCATTTTATTGAGGGAGTTTATATCGTGAGGATTATTTAAAAACTTGCGGTGGTCTAAATTATCAATTATTAGTCCTTCTAGAGAACTCACTCGGCTCAAAGCTACATATGCTTGACCTTGCGAACTTAAATCAACCTGCTATGTCCAAAGTAATTCTTGGCATTTAAAAGCTTAATAATTTTCGAATGGCTCACATATCTATAAACGGTCTTCGCATACTTCTTATATTTTTGAAAGATTTATCCAACAATATCCCACACTATATGGAAATCAAAAAAAATAAAAAACCATCTCCACTTTACATGTAGGGGAGGTTACTGTTATATGTTTAGTGACACTCGTGAGGCTAAGACGAATCGATTGATGTATAAATCTCCAAAATGGTATTATTATACTAATTTTATACATTGTATTATATTATGTAATAAAGATATTTAAAAACAAAGAAAACATTATAAATGTCACGCAGCTATGATGTTAATAATAATAATTAAAAATTATTAGATGCAACGACCACAAATGAACTTAGATGGGGTACCCCGTTGGCGTAGAGGAAGACCGCGACTGTCTGACAGACGCGTTGTGGTACAACGGCTGCTGCCCTTATTGCCTAAACTGCCACCGCCTAGCAGTAAGTAATCGTCTGATTTGTATTTCTTTACAATGAGCTCACTCTTGACTTCAATCTAGGCCAAGGGCATATAAATGAGATCTTAGGTGGGACGAGCTTGTCCGTAAAGAACCTATTAGCTCTTGCCTTAAATTCGGATTGATATTTTTCTAATATTAGATGACTCGCTTACCGGTAGCGTCTTATTCCGCGTGGTCCTAATCCTTTCTCTCGAATCACTCTGTTTTAAAAGAGCTACAGACGGCGGAAAGCGACTTTTGTGGAAATATTAATTAATAGAGACAACATCACATACATTGCTCATATTCCAAAATTAGTAACTAAAGCAGTCGTAATTTAAAGTGTATAGGTACTACAACACCTAAACCGCAGACAATAAAGAAAAGTTAGTTTATTACATCGACCCGACCGGAAATGGAACCCGATATCTCAGAGGTGGCGGCACCTTGAAACCAACGTGCGGGTCACTCAACTACAAAGGTCAAATAAAGAGAAGAATTATTTGTAAGAAGTCGAACAAGTCTCGAAACCTTGTAATTGAAAAAAAGGTAGATACTGCTAAGAAATAATAAAAAAAAAAGATTTAAATCTTTTCAGATTTGATACCTGTAAAGATTGTTCCGAATTCTTCACCGCCGTTGCCGAAGATACTGCCCAAACCACCGCCCACAGCGCCTTCGGAGTGAGTTCCGTTCCCACTTTGCGTGTGTGAACGAGATGAAAGACTGGCATCTGTATTTTTGTTAGTAATGCAATCTCGTGAGATTGGCAATTCTGTGTGTGTGTGTTTTGTCATGCTAATAATCACAGTATTTTAATAAAAAGGAAAAAAATAACAAGAATTATATATTATCATCATCAGACCTTTTACGTTCCCACTGCAGGCCTTCCTTATGGATGATTAAGGAGGATGGGCCATGACCCTCCACACTGGGCCAATGCGGATTGGAGGGTATTTACGGCTGCAAATGCAGCCGGGACCAACGGCTTAACGTGCCTTCCGAAGCACGGAGTAGCTCGAGATAATATTTTTTTGGTCACCCATCCCGTGACCGACCCTTGTGAAAGTTACTTAACGACTACGATCGTGGAACGCGGCGCTTATCCACTACGCCACCGAGCTACTCAAGAATTGAAGAAAGAATTATACATATTATGGGATAAACATGTATTTTTACGATTGTTATTAAATAAGCATTTATGTATTAGGCATTGTTTGACGTATCTAAAAAAATAAGATATTAAAAAAACGACCAGTCTTCTCTTTTAACATCAAACGTTTTTTTCACGATTAAACAGTTCCATTACGTAAATAAACTAAAATGATTTACATTACCCAAGTCGAGTCGACTTTTTCAGCGACTTCTACATCCTTCAAATTTCGCTTTGTATATTAGTATGTTTATTCTTTCATTCGAGCATTTATTTCATTCGACCATACCAACCTTACGTCCCACTGCTGCTACACAGACCTCTTTAGTCTTTCTTCTAAAGAAATCGAAAAAGAAGAAAAAGAAATAAGGAAAATGCGCCAAGGGCGTAGTGGGCATTACGTATTGGTGGGTGTTAACGACTGCAAATGCAGTCGGGACCAACAGTTATAATCAAACTAGTGATAGTAATTTTTTGGTCACCCATCCTATGACCAACCTTTGCGAAAGTTGCTTCATTTTTCTGCCTCTGTTTGCAATTGTCCTCGTTTCTTCTAATATTACTATTTACTTCTCTTCCTCCTTAATATGTTAACTTCAAAGGAAATTCTTAAAAAGAACTACTGGTAATTTTAAAGAATATTATTCTTTGTCCACAGTTTGTCGTTCTTGTATGTGTTGAGTGAATCGAACGGACAGTTTTACTTCCATGACGGTGACCGAAGGATACCGATCACATCACAAGAACAAACAGGTAATATTCACTTTATCTTGCAACAACACGGCAGTTCGTAATACGAAATTTATCCGACCATGTTTGTATAAATATGTCGCAGGACTAAGATAAAATGAGACATTTGGAAAAGTAAGAACAAAAGTCACGGTAATCCTTACGAGTAGTATGTATTATATGGATTGATTTTTGTTAGATCCCCTTGCTGATGAAGACTCAAAAGAGGACGACGTAAAGGATCTGAAACCCGATGCTTTAACTGAAATAAAACCGGATATGACGAAACTGGAGCCCAACGCCAACGGGGAGAAGACAATTAACACTGACCTCGGAAGTAAATATTGGTTTAAGATATTATAATATTTTATCAGTTTTGCATCCACACTAGGGTAGTTCTGGTAGTAAAAATAAGTTGCAAAATTGCTCAAAAGCTAAAATCTACTTGATAGTAAACATAGAGATTCTGATTTCGAGTCTTAAAATCGCACTTATTATCTTACAATTAAAAGTCATGATTTTTGTCTATGTGTCACGTGACTTGAAACACGACCCGCCATTGTGTGACGTCACTGGTGTGACAGCTGTCAGATTAGTCACAAAAATATGCCTATTAATTATAAATTGATTAGATTTATTTCGTAATCGATCGTTAAACGGCATTTTTTTCTAACGGACTTCAAAAAAAGGAGGTTCTCTGTTTGACCTGTATGTATGTACACATACTATTTAAATTATGCGCTTCGGATATATACGTCAAGCTTCGGCAATCCTAATGTATTTTAAAGATATCTATATAGAGTTGTTATTACATAATTAATCATTTCGCTTAAATTTAGATTAGGTCAGCCATTTTAAAAATAAAAGTATACTGTGTTTCTTGCCATCAGTTGATACCAAAATGAAAACCCCAGATTAAAGAAAATCGGTTGTACTAACTAAATAATTTTGTGACACCAGTAAGTAGAACAGTTTTTTTAATAAAACAAAATTCATCAATTATTATAAATTTATCAATTAATCACAATTTGATATGACTTCTATACCCGACATTTCAGACTCAGAATCATTACTGTCGCTGCTGGAACCAATGTTTTAGTACCTATATTCAAATAAGGTAATTTAGCGTATTACAGCTCTATACAATTCTTAATACTGAAATATTGCGTGCTGTCACTTCCATCATAGTCGAGGTACTGACGAGTTTTGGCGGCTAAAACGACGATCACACATTGGTTTCTTGATCTTGATCGTAAACACGAAATATACCGAAGCGCATAGTTTAAATAGTTTATGTGTATGTGTGTATGTTTGTGCGCGATTAGCTCGCGTTTGGCTGAAGCTATTTTGATGCGGCTTTCATCATAGTGTTTGTCAGACTTAAGAGAAAGTTTAAAGTATATTAACTCACTAAAAAATAGAGGTAACGCGTGTTGTGTGTATTATCTACGATTATTTTTGTTTTTGTTTTATTTTTGTATTATTGGCATTTTGTAATCTTCTACTCTATACATTTTTGTTTTGTGTACATATCAGAATGACGTCACGAACATGAGGAACAGCGTTCTCGCGGGTTTAAAAAAATGAAAATTTTTATTTAATTTTAAGGGCGGAGAAGCTTAGAAGGGCGCCATACGAAGTTTTTGTCCCGGTAGAAAAAATCGTAGATCCAAGCCTACATTTAAGTTACCATTTCAAACATACTCGTATTATTATTTCAAAATTGATTAATATTGTCAAATTGCCAATATAAACTTTAAAACTTGATATATTCCTACAGACTTCCTGCCTACTGAGTCGATGTCTTTATCCCCATCACGTTTATTACGCGATACTGAGGGTTGGTTCGAAGGGTCCGTCCAAGATTTCTCACTAAGCAGTTTCCTCGGACACCTGGAGGGACGACCCCAACAGGACCTGGTTGTGAGTATCATGCTTATTTTGTTAATAACTTTGTTTTACAAATAGAAATGTACAAATTATGAATTTCTTCACTTTTTTATCTCATATTAAGTTAAATTAAAAAAAAGGAAATATTTTGAAATTAATCGTAAAAATAATAAAATCAGCAGCTATTACTCACTAATATTTTTTGAAGTTTTTTTAATTTATATACCTATTTCGTAGTAAAATAAATGTTAATTAAACATGAATTTGGTTGTTTAATTAACATTTTTAAAGATTTCTTTATTATTCATTATATTAGGTGGACACCCAACTGCAGTCTCTGATGGCGGAATCGAGTGTGGATTATGTAGCGAAATTCGCTGACCTAGCGGCCGAGGTCACTGACGAAGGCAATAATCTAAATGAGGAGCTTAACTAAATATAAGCAATCAATGTGTTTATATATAGAAATTAATATAACATAATGTATGAAGCAATGAAGATGAGTGACCGAAAGTAGGAAATTTTTCAAGCTTTTCGGTCACCCATTCTATTTCTGTTTTTATTTTGTGAAATAATCTATAACGTCTTTAAGCTAATTGTTACATATTTTTATTCGTTATAAGAATTTGAAAATAATTAATTTATTTAATTATTAAATATTATTAAAGTGAATTTTGAACTGATCATAAGAAAAAAATTACATTATAAGAATAACTCTTTTTCTTGGTAAGTAGGTAGTATGTTACGATGAATATATGTATTTTTACGCCCATTGTAATATGTCTCTTAGTAAATAGGTTTTCTATTATATATTACAAAAATAAAGTTTTTTCTCACAAAATACAATCTATAATTTATTTACTTCATACATAACAGGCTGTTTGCTGTATTCAAAGAATCATTTCACGAAATGTTATCATTTAATTTTAAATGAATTATTATTTGTAATGAGGAAGTATTTAAAAAACACATTAGTTCCCAAAATCAAACTAGATGACGCTACGGCACGTTCTTGATTTCTCCATGACAACCCATCCGGTTTTCTTTCATGTTTAAAAGTAAATAAGTTTTAAAAACTAAATAAATAACTCGTATTCTATTTGTACTTTTTTGTATTTGTATTGATATATGAGGTTCGAACTTTTCAAATTTCAGTTCTTTTTTTATATTTTAGTTAAAAGGAACGGAAATGACTGTCTTTGGTCCATTTGTTTCCTGCAAAAATCAATCGCCATCTAGTGGAGGTGCTTTTTGAGTGCTTCCTCATTAGAATTTATTCAAATCATCTAAATCTTAAAACTTAAAGGTGACTGACTGACATAGTGATCTATCAACGCACAGCCCAAACCACTGGACGAATGGGGCTGAAAAGTGAATGTTTTTTTTTGGTACTTTATTCAAAAAAAAATCTAACCATTATAAAGAAAATTATCATAGCACCTAGATCCAATCCTCTATTTCTCATCAAAGTTTCAGACCTGAAAAATCCCTCGTTTTAGAGAATTAAGTTACGAAAATTGCTATGTTTTGCCTAGAAACACTATGCACAGCCATAAAACTCAATTTAAAAAGAAAACGCCTCAAATAGGGTATTTGACACTATTGAAAATAAGTCGCGTATTATGGTCACCTGTATAATAATAATCTGATAAAGTTTATTTCTTAGAATCTGGAGATAACATAAGTTCAGCTTTAGTAACATAACATAAAGAAAATGCAACATAAATGGACGACGAAATCGCCCTGTGATTGGTTATCGTCGCAACCAATAACAGGTTCTGTTTACCGGCATGTGACGTCACACATAAACCAGAAGCTGTCATGTCAAAAGCAGAGTTATTAGACATACGCAAAATTTGTATTTATAAATACAATTTGTAGCTCATTTTTATAAACAAAACTAGAGTAGATACAAATACAAAACATATAATTTAACTTCATTTTCTCTTCTGTAATACTATTTGTTTACTTGGTAAATAAATAGTTGATAAATAGGTCATATCGTCTTGACATATTTACCGGCATGTGACGTCACAAATACCACGTGATCAGCGCCATTATATTACTTTAAGAAAACTTTAAGAATTATTTTCATCAAAAATAGAACAGATTCTAATGAAATATATTGACAGTGTGTTTATAATGTATCAATTAACCATTTGAAATAATTTTTAGAAAAGCGTCAAAAACATAGGGATCTTTGTCTACTGCCTAGAGTCTGGCAAGCGAAACGTGTCACAAGAAAAGGGCGGCAATTTCAAAAATTCTTAAGCAGTAAACACTGAATGTAGTACTGCAAAATAATTTTGATACTTTTATTAATTATATTTAATCTTAACATTTAGATATCAATTAAAATTATTTGTTTTGGAACATTTGACTAAAGCGTGACTGTTCTTAATTGTACAGTTAACAGCATATCAGTAGGCCTATTCACTAACTCAACTGACAACCAAGAATCGTCATCACCGTAAAAAATAGACACTTTGATTGTGTCAAAATCACTATTTCGTATTCTCTATCAATGATGAGCAATTTCGAAATGTCAATATCGGCATTCTCCACTGGACTCCATTTTGACACTTGATTTCGTATCGATAAACTGTATTAAAGTAACATTGTTGCAAAGCATATTTGAAGTCGTCGCATAGTACCTCTTAAGCCATTTGTTGTTAAATTAAAGCGAAAAAAAATACGTATCCAATATTTTTCTATTATCTGACTGACGGACTAAATCGAATCTTTTTTTTAACCCATTCGTTATACCTATTGGCTAACAGCACTTATAATATTAAAAATTCATATTTGTCATTAATTAAAAGGGTGTTTTTTGCAACGACTTCTTTGTTTTTTTGTTATGAATATGGGCGACTCTGGCCACATTTTTTTAATAAATGTGATGTTAGCCAATTTTGATTTCTGGCCCTTATATTTATAATGTGTTCATAACACATACATGTCTCCTAAGGGATTTTCATCACAACCTTTTGCTCTGATCCAGAACCACTATCTATCAAATTAAATTAGTCAATATAAACACCAGATTACAATAAAAAAAACATTTATTTTTGTTACAATTAAGTGCCATGGATAAATTACATAATACAGGTGTCACAAAATCATCATGTTAATCACAATAGAAAATTTAAGATAAGATTTTGACTATGAATCAGACTAAAAATACTTTAGTCTGATTCATAGTCAAAATCTGTTTCTAAATATTCTACACCTGATAACAATGACAAGGAATCATCAGAGTCACTCTCTTCACTACTGTCTGCACCAACAGATATAATAAATTTTTCAAGTTCGTTTTCAACAATGCCATCTTTTAATTTGTAATCATTTTCGACATTTAAAACATGATCAGTGTATTTCTTCCAGTCACTAGGGGTAATTAAGTTAAAACACTCTATTATTAAGTTTTCCATTTCCTTTCCTGGTATTCCAATGTTTCTGCTTGCAATTTTTCTTTTTGCTTGACTCCAAACCATCTCTATTGGGTTTAAGTCACAATGATACGGTGGCAGCAATAAAAGTTCATGATTATGTTCTTTTAAAATCTCTTCAGCTTCATATACAGGCAATGTTTTCTTATCATTAACCAAACACATTAACTCTGCCTTTGTCTGATATTCCTCAAAATGTATTCCATTATTTACAAGCCATTTACGGATATCTGCTTTGGTATTAGACATTATAGGCGGTTTATTGATTTGTTTTATATGGTAGCTGGCATTATCCATAACAATTACACTGGGCTTACTTAAATTTGGTATTAATTTTTCTCTGACCCATTTCATAAAGTTCGATGAGTTCATATCATCATGATAATCAGCAGATTTGGATTTACTACTGAACACTAATAATGCACCAGGCACAAAACCTTCCTCAGATCCAGCATGCACAACAATATGCCGTTTTCCAGAGGATATCTTTGTAGTGACACCAGTTGTTGAAGGTCCTTGCCAAGACTTTTTAACTTTATAATTCTGATGTACATAAGTTTCATCAAGGTACACAATTTGCTTTCCTTCGTTTCGTTTTATATTTATTTCTCTCAAATACTTGTGCCTCCATGCAGAAATCTGGTATTTTTCTATAAGCATAGAACGTTCATTTTCATTGCTTTTAAAAGAAAATCCATTCTTAAGCATAATTTTTCGTAAAGTCTCACGGCTACCACTGAATCCTATTGCATCTTTTAATTCATTGTGAAGGCTTCTTAATGTTGGAACAATTTTTTTCACACAGTAAAATTCATTTACTTTATTCCGAATTGCACTTAAATCAAAATTATCTAAAGCAGACACTGTTGGTTGATGAGGTCGTTTTTTCCCAGGAGTGTCCCATTTTCCTTTATTAATTAATGCTTCATTTTTTATCCTTCTTAGTGTCCTTATACTTACATCTATAAAAGATTAAACACTTTGAAACAAAGATATGTTAAATGTATTTAAAAGCAAATAATGATAGACACATACATCAAAATAATTTAAATACCTATTCAACTATGAATGCAATTTATGTTTAATTTAGTTAAGTTTATGTGCATATTTAGCATGTATAACAATTACATGGTTTGATTAGTTTCATGAATTCTGTGAATTTCCTTGTTAAACAAAACATTCTTATGACATCATTGGATGTCAACAATAAAAACCAATACATCATAAAAAACCTATGTAAATATTATAGGAATACTATCAATCTATCTTAAATCAAAACAAGAAAAGAGACCTGTCATTGAAGAAATTTTTTGTAAGTACTGCGTTTCCGAATTCAGCATTTCTTGTTTTTCTAAAGTTTTTATTGCATTTATCTCCTCCATTATTGGTTGAATATCACCATCACAGTTATCTGAAATAGAGCAATATTTTATAAAAAATATCTGTTTAGTTAATTACAGAAAATTAAAACGAAAGTATCAAAATTATAATACAAAACTAACCTAAAAAAGATACAACTTTATCTAATCGTTGTAATTTCTCCATGAAATTTTTATTTAATTCAGTTTTCACTTCAGTAAACTTGTCAATCATGATGGAAAGAAGTTTCCTCGATGAACTTTTTATCGGCTTCGACATAATTTTTAACCAAAAACACAAGTTCAAATTCGCAAAAACAACAAAATTCAATATTCTTGAATTGTCTAACGTAGTGTCAAACTGACAGTTCTATGTTGTTGCCATATGAAAACGGAAAAATAGGTGGTGTCACGTTTCGCTTGCCAAACTCTAGCCTTCGGTAGGGTACTTTGGGAAATTACGAAATTCCGATAATGATATTAAACAAAAAACTATATATTTGTTGTAATCAAAAGTTTTTTATCTAGTAAAAGTATGTTTAATAGTCAACTTTACCGACACAAAATGTCTAATTTGCTGTTGATTCGTCACTTTCAGGATTTGCCTGTTTTGGGTATTACCCCAAAGCACCTTATTATAACTTAGCGTCGCCAGTGGACGAATCATATAATAATATTGTGAAAATCGAATTAATAATTTGTTAACTATATATTTATTTTAATAAGCTACGCACCGAATCGACTCAAATCGGGCCTAATCTGCGTCGCCGAACTTACGTTCGTTTAAAATATATCAGTATTTGACATTTAGATGTCTAAAATAAAAAATAAATAGCAAATAAAAATAATTATTCCACATTGGGGTTGCCATAGATTTTCTTAACGCTATAAAATATCCACCAAATGATGTTCAAATCAGAAAATAAAAATTTTGGCGGCGCCTAAAAATATAATAAAATGATCATGTGTAAGGTTTATTTACCCTTTATCGATTAATATATAATTTATGCTTGGTTAGAGATAATTTGAATAAAGTTCCAGCCTCGTTTATATACTCTCCTCGTTTATTTAACTCGTTTATATAAACCTTGTGTAAATAAAATTAGTTTTCGTATGGTTTTACCTTAGATTTTCTTTTCTTATATACATTATAACCCCTACAAAGCGCAACGACAATAGTGAAGCCATTAAGGATTCGTGTGTGCGTGAAAAAAGAGCAAGGAGCGTATATTGTAGAAATGGTAAACGATTATCCCAAAATTATCGGATTTATTTTTTAATATTTCAGTATGTACCAAATATGTCAGAAAATACGTTTAGAGTATATAGTTTTATATGTAGTAAAACTTACTCTCATATTTCAGTTAAAAATTAAACGATTTCTATAATTATAACAAATTATAAATTTTTCACAGTTTACAAAAGATGTCAACCAGGAAACTTACAAAGTCAATAGCTTATTTTTTTCATAGTTTCTTCCAGCATATCAGAAACGAATTATAATGTCATCCTATCTTACGTGTAAGTGATGATCCAGAGCTTTTGCGCCATCCAGTCGGCTTACGCAATTTTAGCGTTTTCAAATTATGATCGCGTGTTTTTCACCTCTGTTATAAAGCAGCCAACTACTTATAAGCATCGCGTCAAGTAAGTGGTAAAAAACCACATATACCACTTTCTTGTTTGCATTTCTATTTTATGCTTGCCTAAAAAGAGTCAAGTAGATCGACACCATCCTGTGTCTATTGTAGTGGCAAATAATGTTAGGACAATAGACATCAGTGTACTGGTTGCTCTTCTTACAAAATCGTTTTAACTTATGTTAAAACGATTTTGGTTTGTTATCTAGTCACATAACTGCAACCACCGGCACATCCTTCACTAAGGTTTGCCACTTTTTAAAGTATCCATGAGATGTCTTAGATTTCGATAGTTCTTTATGAGATGACATTTGAATGTTCGCTCCTATGTGACCTCTGTTTACAGTTCCTAGACTTTGTATCCCTATATTCGCTTAATATGCGATCAGTTCTGGAGATGTGTAGTAATTATCAAAATTAAAAAACTTTGTAGTTTTGTTCTTTAGGAAATAGCCAGTGATTGATGGCAGCTATTGAATAAAAGAACTGCAGCTTAGAAAGCTTACTTCAGAGAAGCTTCTTATAACTTCGTATGATGGTGGCTTCTGTTATCGAAAAAAAACGGTGAAATTCGTACACGGAGGATTCCGTATCATTCATTATCTATGATAAAAACAAAAACTCAAGTTTGTTGTATGGGAGCGTCCTTAAATCTTTTTATTTGTTTACGCCCTTTTACAGAGGGAAAGATGGACAGACAGTGAATTCTTAGTAATAGGGTTTCCATTTTTCGTACTGAACTCTTTGGATGCGGAATCGTAAAAGGGTGTTTGGAAGGGAAGTTTGTTCTTATTGCCACTTTAAGTAGATTGGAATGTACACCTTGCATCTCTTGCAAATCTCAAAAGCGTATATTTTAAGGGTTACGAATAATCCTGAACGCGATGGGAAAAATTTGATATCGATATGTATGGACATTTATCGATTTGCAATATATCGTTGAGTGTGTATGCTTAATTGAGTGTGTATGCTTAAATCAGCCAAAAGACGTCCTGAACGAGTGGTAGGGAAAAAATGTTGGACGATTCAAAAGTACTTTTAAGAAGTTTATTTGAATAAAGATTATTTTGACTTTGACTTTGAAATTCAAGTGCGAATGCCTAAAGACACGTATTATCTCCTTCTTGTAGCGATGGTTCGTATTTTTACTGTTATGCAATCGTGATAAAGCTCAGTTTTCGGTTGGTGTTTATACGCTCTACATTACGCATTACCAGTAGCGGCGTTAGGGTAGGGCGCGGTTGGGCGACCGCCCAGGGGCGCCGGACGAAAAGGGGCGCCGCAGGCCGCGGCGCCTCTTTTTCGTCCGGCGCTTCTTTCTGATTCAGTATAATGAGGAAGTATTAAAAAAAAAGAAAGCTCTACAAAAATACCTCCACCTGGATGGCGACTTTAGCAAAACTTGATTTTTGCAGGAAACAAATGGAACAAAAGAGTCATTTCCGTTCATTTTAACTAACATATTAAAAAACTGAAATTTGAAAAGTTCGAAACTTAGATATCAATATAAATACGAAAAAGTACAAATAAAATATGACTTGTTAATTGAGTTTTGAAAACTAATTTACTTTTAAACTTGAAAGAAAACTGGAAGGGTTGCCATGGAGAAATCAAGAATATACCGTAGCGACATCTAGTTTGATTTCGGGAACAATTTTTTTTTTCTAATACTTCCTCATTTCCCACAGACGCCCTCTTATAGTTCTCTTGCTCATTGAACAAGGACTGCTGGGTCGGCGAAAAAAAACAAGAACCTTGAGGATTTTTTTATTTTCAAGTTGCCTCACTTTCAGCATGAATTGAAAGGAAACTTAACAAGAAAAATATTATATTATGGTAAAACAGAACAACATACCGATTACAATATGAAGATATGTATTTTATTAGGTAACGTGACGTACATTGGCGGGCATTATCGCTCGGTCATTTAAGAAAATTTTCGTTTGAGCAGGTTTAAACGTTAAGTTGAAGCTAAAATGCTGCAATCCAAACGAATGCATCGACAGTGGAGTCTCTGTCTGGCAAATCAGATGGAATAGCTACTCAAGAAATTCTGGATGAAAAATCCCTAAGATTTATATGTCTACTTTTTAAATAAAACTAATGTCACTATATAGTTGGAACAAGAGCATCGTAACGTAGCGTTAAACGTTTGATTACTGTGTTTGTTTGTTTTAAAATAATCGAATAATTGTTTTAAGAGCGTCCACTTATGTCAAGCAAGAAGAAAATTAAAAGAGTTGTTGATTTGAGTTGGTGTTCGTCTTCGTCAAAAAAAAAAAAATGGTCGGAAAGTCGGGATTCCCGAGAAATTAAACCGATTGAACACTACTTTCCATTCTAATGCTGCCAACTTAACAATCTACCTAAATTTAGGGAAGATTACAAGTAAGTAGGCCGGGTCGGCGAAAAAAAGACAAGTAACTGATTTGTAGTATGTAGTAGTAACTGATTGTAATTGAATTGCAGTTAGAGGGCGCCGAAGAAATTTCGCCCAGGGCGCCAGTAGTGCTAAAACCGGCACTGCGCATTACATTCTATACAATTATTAAAATTGTCAATGTAAAGCGTTATACTCATAAAGATGAGGCGGCGGACTGTGATCGCCGTTTCTTGGTGATCGCGGATATTGTGCGAAGAGTCACACAAACATCAATCTTAAATGATTTATTTAAGAGTGAATTTAGCTTTGGTACTTTTAAGTAAAGCTTTAAAAGATAGTTATTGTATCACTAAATCACTAGAGAATGCGGTTCAGGCAAATCACTAGTTGAATAACTGTCTATCTATCGAATAACGTCCATCCGCTACCTTGTTGGTCTGGCCTAAAGCAATATAATCTGTGGTATAGAGTAGAAGCTGGCGGAAAGTTGTCACGCTTTTATTTTTATTTCTAAATTTCTTTGAAACTTATTAAAGACTTCTATGCAAAGAGACGTTTTACTTTTTGTGTCGCTAATAAAATCAGATTAACTTATCGAAAACTGTTACCAAACGTAGTAATAATAGGGTTTATGAAAGCAACGTGATGCCAAGAAAGCCTTGTTATTGGACACGCAAGTTGGAGCTCGAACTTGTAGAATTCATACGCCAAAGAGATTTCATTTGGAAACCTTACGGTAACACAAATCACCATATTCAGCAGAAATATAAAGCATATGCGGAGTTTGCTGCGAAACTGGGACGCGGATTCACGGGTAAGCTCAATGATAATATACCTCCCAAATTTTTATAATTTTAGTTAGTTTTTAGTAAAAGTAATTAGTGGATAAACGCAAGTCTGATTATGGAAAAATTTTGACACAATCCTGACATGCGGGCGCTATAATGGACTAATAACGCGAGTCACGATAAATGCGAATTCATCTTTTCGTTAACTAAATCAGTGACCTCAGATTTGGTCATTATTCGCATGGTCCTATGAATTTAATTAGGCATCGAAATCATCGAATGCAGTTGTTTAGTATACAATTTTGACTATTGTATTCTTGTGATCAAAATTTATGAGTATGCTTGAAAGTCAATAGCATATACTATGATTAAAGTTGCATTTCTAAGGTTTTTTAGTTTACATCATGTTATTGTTGTGGACTAACATAATTTTATAATTTCAGCAAGATCAGTAAGGGATCGGTGGGTGAACATAAGGAGCACATTTAATCATAACCTCAGGAGGGTTGATAAATCTAAAGAGATGGCTCGTACACCAGCAGACATGTATGTGCCTTGTTGGCCCCTATGGAAACCTCTACAGTTTTTAAGAGAAGTTCCACGGAAAGAAGAAACTGTAAATTATGATGTAAGTTCATTTTTAATCATCACAGGACCCAAGGTGATCAAAAGATGTCAAGTACAGCAAGTTAATATTTTATAGACAATCATAGTTTCATATTGATTGGAGTACTAAATTGAAGAAAGATGCAACTTCTACTACTTTATCTTCATATAATTTTGATCACCTTTGACACTTCCACTTATGACACTGATTGTACCAATTTCAATGAAAAAGAAATTTTAATGTCAAGAATTTAATTATGTATCAAAATAATTGACAGTAATTTTTCTGCATGGAAAATGCATGGTTTTCTTTGATTTAATTGATGATTGTGATGAGCTAATGTTTGGCCTTTATTTTTAGGGGTTTCCAGTACATACTGAATATCATGAAAATTCACTGCAACCTAAAATAGAACAATCTCCAAATGATGAAAATGGACTATTGAGAATCAGACAGAGAGGTCAAAGAACTGATAGGCCACGTCGCAAAACATCTTTGCTATCTTCCATACCTACAGTTAAATGCATCACGGTTATAGAAGATCTTGTGACAGCTATGAAACCTCTCAGTAGTGTGAAGTCAGATCAAAAAAGTTCATATTGGTTTTTTGGTAGGCATGTCACTGAGAGACTAAATTGTATGAGAGAGGAAGATGCAGAGTCTGCTAGTAGAGAAATAATGAAACTATTAAGTAATTGGCAATCAACTGAAATCAAATCTGAGGATTTATTTCAAAATATCACTTGATATCATTGACGTGTTCTTCTTTGGTTTCCATTGTTCCTCAAACTTTCAAATCCAAGTTGCCCATGTAAATGTTATCCTACTTTGTCTTTGAAAGAGAGAATTCGTTGTTGTTGAAATTGTATGCTCAACTTCAATGTTGATTCATTCTTGTCTTCCTGTTCATTCGTGGGAAATTTTGTACTCTGTGACTAGAATTACCTGATCTGTGGTGATTATTTTAAGCATGTTAAAAGTCTATCTAATTATTCCAACAAACTTGAAATAGGGTGTGGTGATTCAATTTAATTTTACTTAACACTAGTCTATTTAAAGAATTTTCTGTTTTTTGGAATTCTATAGGTTCCATGTTCTTTCTGGGAAATGTTTCCTTCAGCTTTTCTAATGACCAATGACCAATTTTTTGATAAAAGATACAGTCTACTGCTCACTGTTCTACACTTTTATTATTTTATCAATCCATTTTATGACTTTATCTTCCTAATTAAAAATGGTCTGTTTCTTAATATTATCCGGTTACTACTGTAATATTGTAAACCTTATTGATTACACCAATCACAACCAACCATTAAATTGATATTACAAAATAGATGTTGATGAGAATTAATTGTTATTAAATTGGGTATATACCATCTATGAATCTGATCTTAAACAAAAATCTTGATCCATCTATTATAATGTGGAAAACAATTCAGTTACATGTAATTGTTTATGGTCTTATTAATGGTGAAATGACAATTCAAAGTAAATTATTTTCAAGTATAAGATTTTTCTTTTATTTTTCTTTCTAAGTATTTTTCTTGAATGATTCTTTGCACATATTATTTATGTGGTCTAAGTCAAGTGATTTTGCTTAGTATTATAGCTAGGACTAGTATAAACACTGATTCAAGTGAAAAGCCAACAACGGAAAAAAACAGAGTAGAGATTGTGTTCTAATTCATCCTTTGGCGGTCCAAGGTTCAGTAAACAGTTGAAATGCATGTTGCTTCAAAGTTTATAAGTTGTGACTCTGGGCCTTTTAATAAAACACATTTTGCAATGATTGTATGAAAGACATGTGTTGACAATGCAAGTATTGAATCATATTGTAATGATGCTCAAACAAAGCCACAGAATATAAAGCAGCATACAAATAGCTGTGCAGCAAGTGCGGGGTGCGGGGGGTATCATTGAATTACATTTACATTCGAAGCGCCTTTAATTGCTTTTTCTAATTGAGTTTCGAAGCTGTTGGGTTTAGGTTCTGACAGTTACTTTACCTACTTCTACCACTTCCGAATATTTTTTTGTCATTTCAGTCAGTTGTTGTAGTGGCAGGATATAGACGCTTTTTGCCTATTTGTCAAGTTACAAACCATGAAGTTTCTGGTGTTATTGTGGCACAGAGCTACGTTACACTTCGTGCACTCACGCGTTTAAAACTCCTATAATTTGGTAGTTTACAACGATTTTCTCACAGCGCCTTTCATGGTGGGCAATGCAATCGGTCCTAATATACTTCGGTGATACATACGATGTTTTTCCTACCTTGGAATGCAAATCTAATTCTCTTTCTAGACTGTCTCTAGAAGGCCTGTCTCGCTTGTTTCCATCACCATTTACTTTATATTTATATAGTATTCGGCCGAGTCGGATTTAAATAGACTCACCAATTTTCTGATTTTTAATTAACTTTTTTGTATAATATCCAGAAATTGATAACGCTCAAATCAATCATGTGGTAAAACAACCGCAAATACCATTTTCTGCTCTTTATTCTGATTCCATATCGTCCTAAAAATGTCCATCAGTGCCCATGTAGGCATTATAATTTTATATTATCTCGGGACATGGTATTGAAATAGTAACCTATGGTTTAACATTCTTGGAACATTTAGGCAAAGTTGAAACATGGTACTGCCAACTACGCTAAGGTCGGGCTCATCAGGTTGGCATTCCTCGTTACATTAACCCTAGAAGCCTAATCTATATAGAACGTACACAAAGCCTTAATATACGTCTCAGATATTGTTTAATTATTATTGTTTTAATAAAGCGGAAATTTGAATTTGGGAAATAAACTAAAAATAAAACCACACTGTTATCACTTACAGTATTCCAAATTTAATAATGCGCATACAGATCTTCGCCACTGTTCGGCTACGGTCGTATTTCCCGAGCGTCGGGAGACGATATCTATATAGAGTGGAAAATACATTTATTTCTTGCATAATTTAGTAGAATTATGGAATTTATGGGAAAAGAGATAAATATTGATTTATCCGTAACGATATGTGATTCGATAATTCCATGTATGTAAATAGCGAGGAAAGCCACATAATTACGGATATTATGTTACAAACTTAGTCGGATTGATTTGCTTTGAAAATTTTATATTACTTTTCAAGTGTCTTACTGAAGCTGCTTTAACGATGGAAGAAAAGAAGGTTTAGATGAAAAGAAGAAAAATTTAATCAGAATCGGGGAGATTCTCTATTCCTGACATCGTAGAGTCGTCGGAACTTTCATTATGGTCTTCATTGTCACTTTCCCCACTATCACCTGTGTAAATAATCATTTCATCAGAAAAACTGTCCATTCTTGTGTCATATTTCCTATACTCATCTTCGCATTTGATGGCATGATCCCGAACTTTTTTTCCATTCTTCCTGTCCTATATTGTTGATTTTTTCTAATATAGCATCTTTAACTGACGTGACATTCATTGCAAAGTTTTTTTTGGCAATGTGTTGTTTTATTTGGGCCCAAATGTTTTCTATAGGGTTAAAATCAGGATGATATGGTGGCAATCTTACAATTTTATGTCCATGTTCCTCCATTATACGGTCAATGGCAAATTCTGTGAACTTTTCTTTGTGTCTTTGTATAATTTCATACAATTCGGGTTTCAGTTGATTTGGATCATGCGGAATATTGTGTTGTTGTATCCACGCTATCATTTGTGGTTTCGGTGTATTTGAGTTTGGTGGTTTCACAGACAGCTTATTATGATACGGGGCGTTATCAATTACCAACACACTATGGAGGCAAATTGGGAATCAATTGATTGCGTAGCCAAGTTTGATAACGTTCCGCGTTTATTTCTTTATGATAGTCACCTTCTGAGTCGACACATTTATGTAACATTAGAGCCCCTGGTACGAAACCTTTTTCATTGCCTGCATGTACAATTATAATTCGCTCTCCTTTGGAAATAGGTTGTTTAATACCTTTTTTGCTGCTATCTTGCCAAGTTTTACCTTTAGTATGCGATGTATGCACATATGACTCATCCATAAACACTATGTTTCTACCAGCATCCCTCAGCTGTTGTATTTCTCTTATATATTTGATCCTTTTTAAACGTATATCTGGCTTTTCCATAAGTAACCGTCTGTTGGTATCCGTTTTCAAAAACCTAAACCCCATGTCTTTCAAGATGAGCCTTAAAGTCTCTGCACAGCCATTGAAATTAATAGCTTCGATTAACTTTCTTCTCAAATTATTTACAGTTGGGAGTTCTTTGAGCGTCAACTGAAAATTATATATCATATTTCTAATAACACAATAGTCGAAATCATCAAGTCGCAGCCGAAACCTACTTTTAGGTTTTCCTTTTTTAGGTGTAGAAAATTTCATTGATTGATTTCGTTTTTTTTCGTTCAAGATATTAGTCAAAGTTCGCCGTGAAACTCCTGTAGCTTTTGTAACACGGTCCTGAATTTTATTAAAATAACCATCATGGTCTCTTTTGAAGACATTGGCTTCATTTAAGAAATAAAGGTACACATTAAATACCATTTGCCGTGCTTGTGACTTAAGCGGCTGTCCACGTTTAAATTTATCCATTCTTGAAGAATTCGATCTGAAAGAAGATGAAATGGGCGGAGTTAGGTATATTTTTATTTAATTGTTGCGTTATGCATGTATATATGTAAATAAATAACTGACATCATCCATAGACACTCATGGGTTATGTTTATGCAGCCAACATAATTAAAAACACGTTACACGTTACATCACGTTAGTTATAATTTTTAAGTAGGTTATTTGTAAATATAATGATTGTTAGTTTTTTCTTCTTTTTCTTAGCAGTTTTGTATACAACTAGCGACCCGCCCCAGCTTCGCACGGTGCATGTTATATACATATCTACCTCCCTCTTAAATCACTCTATCTATTAAAAAAACCGCATCAAAATCCGTTGCGTAGTTTTAAAGATTTAAGCATAAATAGGAACAGACAGCGACTTTGTTTTATACTATGTAGTGATGTGGTAACTTTAATTGGTTATATGTACATTAGTAATTGTAGTTATAGTAACATGTAATATAATAACTGTTGTTATCCTTAATATAATAAAATAAAAATAAACTTACCAAGAAGGTAATAGGAGCTCTATATAATTCCACATGGAGACAACACGTGCAGTCAGCGCCAATAGTTAAACACGACTGACTAATCTGTGCGACTCACCGGCGACCGCGAATTGTATTCGATTGAGTACACATGATATTGACTCCTATTTCTTTCGAACAAGGTGCATAATGCAAGTGCATTGTTTAGGGTTCTTACGATTCAATGATTCGGGCGTTTTCGGGAATACGGCTACTGGCGAAGATCTGTATGCGCATTATTAAGTTTGGAGTACTTGTATAACTATAATTATTACAACAAAAAAAAACAATATGCATAAATTGGAACAAAAAAAATTAACTTGTTCAAAATCAACTAAAACATATATTATTTTTATAGAGTATCATTTTTTTTTAAATAAATAAATAACCAGACTTTAAAGGATTAGATTAACTTTAGGAACAATTTACACATAAATCAACCTTGTGCTCGCCACACACAGATTTTTTACATTTATTACACACTAATTTTGACATTCTCTTTTTTTATAGGAGCAAAAGGAGCAGTATTTACGTTTCTTTGGGAAGGGTTCTCCTTCTTGATTTTCATCAGTTGTACCTTTAGGTTTATCAAGAATTTGGCTTATATTTTCAAGTAAAGATCTCTTCAATGTCGGAGCTTCAAGTCTCTTCTCCATCCAAGGCGTGATCAAATCTATGCTCAGTTGTTTCATGAATTGTCTTCTGTTCAATGGTTTTTTATTATTCTTGATCATGTTGTGGTCATATATTATATCAGAATTAACAAAAGCCATATTTAGGTTACCATAAAATACAGCCATCGGCCATCTATTATTCTTCCGGCTGCACGACATGGAGGAGCACATTTGATCAAATGAGTCTACTCCGCCTTTTGTTTTATTATAAAATAGAATCATGTCGGGTTTACCACTTGAATCGTTTATTACTGCATTTTCATTGCAACAGGATAAAAGATATACCATCTTTGCAGGTTTTGGCTTATATGATACAAGTGTCAGGGGGCCATCAAAACAAAACATAGAGCATAAACGTGATCTCGAATTCTTCAATTCTTCAGGGATCTCCCGTTTATTTGAACGTACAGTGCCTACTAAAGTCAATTTATAAGGCAGTTGAAGTAAACTTTTGGCTAAAGGTATGGATGTAAACCAATTATCACAGGTTATGTTTCTGTTCGATCCATGAATAGTTTGTGACAATTTTTTTATATAAAATTCGCCAAGTGGTACCCCGTCAGTATTTGTACTTTAACCTATATATGGATCAGCGTTAATCATGTATTTAGCAGTTGCATCACACATCATCGGAAACTTAATGCCGTATTTATCTGGCTTGTTCGGTATGTAAATCCGAAATGGACATCTACGTCTAAAGCCAAGTAACTGTTCATCGATTGTCACCTCAGATCCAAGAATATAATTGATTTGACATTGCTTTATAAACAATTCCCAAACATTTCTAGCTGGTACAAAAGCATCATTAGGTCGAAGAGTTGATCTCAAAGTCTTATCATCCATCCTAAGGCATCTGACTAAAAACTCAAATCTTTCTTTGCTCATAACTGATATGTATCGTGTACCAGAAAAGGTAGGATCAAAAAGCTCATCTGTTGATAGATGATTATCTTTCATGACTGCAGTCAAAGTCAATAACCCAATGAATGCACGAATTTCAACATCAGTAACATCTCTATGAGTCGCTGTAACTTTTACTATTTTTTGGCGTTTTGAGATCATTTCAACATTAGTCCATTTCATAATTTCAGATAACATTGCATCAGTTATAAATAAATTAAAAATTTGCGCAGGATCAAAAACATTTTTGCTCATGCCAGTTGGACCTCGTGAGGTGCGGACTATGTTCTTAGCTAGAGTTCTGTGAGATGTTTGAGCTTTAACAGTTGACCAAATATGTTCATTCTTACTTCGGAGAGCACGACCACGAACACGATAAATCCGCTCCGAGTTGGTAGGTGGTAAAACATGGCCTGCGCTAGATGATGCACCAGCTTCTGCATCAAGGGTTGGATCAGTTTCTTCAGAGGGCTCAGATTCTTGTAATGACGAAACGAACTCGGACACCTCATTTTCGTCCTCGCTTTGAACGTCGTCGATAATCTGGTCATCCTCAACTTCGGAATCTGAATCCTCGAGAGAAGGACTGTCTTCTCCGTTCAAAATTGCGATAATGTCGTCTTCATTTAATATATGAGGGGTCTAAAAGCAAAAACGCCACTGTCCTGACTCATCATGAAAGCCATTTGACTGTAAATTATGTATTGTGTATTCTAACGTATATATGTCGCATGCTTTTCTATTAAATTGCTACAACATGTTTCCTGACTAAAAACAAATAATTAGGTGTAGTAAAGTAATGATGTTAACAGATTTTAAGCCAATAAATAGAGTGGACAGTAGCGTTTCTGTTTCTTACTAATGGACAGTGGCGTATTTGCAACTACACATATGGACAGTGTCACTTTTGAAACTTACCTCTACCACCATTTTGTCAAAGAAGTACAGTTGACATAATAATATTTTTATATAATTTTATTTAATTAGGTTACATTTAAGTAAGTTGTGACAATAATATTTTTTTTAATATTTGTATTTCTTATAATCATATTACTACTGAGACAATCAAATTTCGTTTTGTAGCATACTATTATTATAGTGTTTAATACCCTAGATTCGTAATTCCGAGTCAGAACCGCCTTCGCAAACCTCTTCTTCATATTCTTCAGCTTCCCGTCCCGAGCTTCTGATCTACTCAAAACTTCTTTATAGTAGGTCAAATCATCTCTGTCTTTCCAGTCCGTTCCGAAATGCTTTTTTAATAAATTGTCCACGTCAGAAATTTTAGCTCTCTTAACTACAACATCGTATTGTTGTAAATTTCTTGGGTTTACATCTGTCCATGATTTTCTTTTTTTTAGAATGCTTTTGTATGCAATCATGTCAGTGGCATAGTGCATTTCGCCTCTCACCAAAATGTTAGATGCTGTTCTTTTAAGATAAAATCTCTTACATTGTGCAAATTTAAAATGCCATGATGCAGGTGGTTTGATGA